GCGCCGCGAACATTATTTGCTGTCGTGGGCAATTCTTTATACCACAAAAGGATGGCCCGTTTTTGTTAGAGAAGCAATAAGGCTGTTCATCCATCCCCTTCCTTCATCTACTACTCTCCTTCACAAGGGTGGGTGAAGGGAGAGACGGATAACTGGAGGGGATGAACCGTAGAGTGGGTTGTCGAAATTATTCCGTTCTCCCTGCTTTCCCTGCGCTCCCACCTTCCCGCCCTGACTGACTCTCTCTCTCTCTCTCTCTCTCTCTCTCTCCTGCCCCCTTTTTTCCCAACCATCCTGTGGTGCTGGGTCCTCGTTTTGAAGAGACGGTCCCCGCGTCCTCCTCTCCTCTCCTCTCCTCTCCTCTCCTCTCCTCTCCTCCTCTCCTCTCCTCCTCTCCTCTTCACCCACCCAGTACACCGTTTCGTGGCCCCATAGGGAGCTCCGCCGAAGGCCCCAGTGCTGCCGCCCGCATGCGTCCCGCACACCCAATTCGGCACACCCCTCGCACGTTTCGTGGCCCCATAGGGAACCCCACCGAAGGCCCCAGTGCTGCCGCCCGCATGCGCCCCGCACGGTCAATTCGGCACACCCCTCACACGCTTCGTGGCCCCATAAGGGGGCCCCACCGAAGGCACCAGTGCTGCCGCCCGCATGCGTCACCCACACCCAATTCGGCACACCCCTCACACGCTTCGTGGCCCCATAGGGGGCCCCACCGAAGGCCCCAGTGCTGCCGCATGCGTCACCCACACCCAATTCGGCACACCCCTCACGCGTTTCGTGGCCCCATAGGGAGCCCCACCGAAGGCCCCAGTGCTGCCGCCCGCATGCGTCCCGCACACCCAGTTCGGCACACCCCTCACACGTTTCAGCCCCGTAGGGAGCCCCACCGAAGGCTCCAGTGCTGCCGCCCGCATGCGTCCCGCACACCCAATTCGGCACACCCCTCACACGTTTCGTGGCCCCATAGGGAGCCCCACCGAAGGCCCCAGTGCTGCCGCCCGCATGCGCCCCGCACGCCCAATTCGGCACACCCCTCACACGTTTCGTGGCCCCATAGGGAGCCCCACCGAAGGCCCCATTGCTGCCGCCCGCATGCGTCCCGCACACCCAATTCGGCACACCCCTCACACGTTTCGTGGCCCCATAGGGAGCCCCACCGAAGGCCCCAGTGCTGCCGCCCGCATGCGTCCCGCACACCCAATTCGGCACACCCCCCACACGTTTCGTGGCCCCATAGGGAGCCCCACAGAAGGCCCCAGCGCTGCCGCCCGCATGCGTCCCGCACGCCCAATTCGGCACACCCCCCACGCATTTCGTGGCCCCATAGGGAGCCCCACCGAAGGCCCATGTGCTGCCGCCTGCATGCGTCACGCACACCCAGTTCGGCACACCCCTCGCACGTTTCGTGGCCCCATAAGGAGCTCCACCGAAGGCCCCAGTGGCGGCGCTCACATGCGCATGCGTCCCGCACACCCATTTCGGCAAATCCCTGACAGGTTTCGTGGCCCCATCATCCACCGGAGGCCCCACTGGCGGCGCTCACATGCGTCACCCGCACCCACCCAGTTCGGCACACCCCTCACACGCTTCGTGGCCCCATCGGGAGCTCCACCGAAGGCCCCAGCGGCCGCGCTCACATGCGTCCCCGCCAGCAATCCCGGCACGCCCCTCACAACAACAGGTTTCGTGGCCCCATAGGGAGCTCCAGCGGAGGCCCCAGTGGCACCGTCCGCATGCGTCACCACCCGCACCCAATTCGGCACACCCCTCACACGTTTCGTGGCCCCATAGAGAGCTGCGCCGAAGGCCCCAGTGGCGGCGCTCACATGCGCCCCCGCCACACATCCCAGTACACCCCTCACGCGCTTCGTGGCGCCATAGGGAGCTCCACCGAAGGCCCCAGTAGCGGCGCTTACATGCGTCTCCGCCGCCCATCCCGGCCCCCCCCCCCCGCAGCAGCATCATGTTTCGGGGACCCATAGGGAGCTCCACTGGAGGCCCCAGTGGCGGCCCGCACATGCGTTTCCGCCACCCATGTCGGCACGCCCCGCGCGTGTTTCATGTCCCCATAGGGAGCTTCGCCGAATGCCACAGTGGCACCCATCCCGGCACACCTCTCACACGTTCCGTAGTCCTATGGGGAGTTCCATTGAAGATGGAACCCGCAGCTGCGGTACTGACAACTGCATATGGGTGGGTTCTTCGCCAGGCTAATTTCCAAATGCAAGGGGAACGGTCAGGGGGGGGTAGAAATTAGATTGGGGGAGTCACTCTTCTGGTTTCTTGTGGTGAAATCAAAACCCCGTCAATGGGGACCACCAAACCAATCCCAAACGTCTCACAGAGTTCCAGGCGACATGCCCGGCGATTTGCCTGGGGGAGGCCACGGAGACGGAAGGAGGGGAGGGGCCGACAGCCAAAAACGAAGCAAGAAAAGGAAGGCAAGACAAAAGGCACACAGAAAATGCTACGTTCTGATACGTGACATAAATCTACGCTGCTGCGGACAGTTTTCTCTCCCTGGTTACAACGAGCTCGGTCTTGGGCCCGCTGCGTCCAGCCAGCTGCGGCACGAATTGGGTCATCACATTCGACTTTGCCGTAACAGTGTGAAGTGGGACTCCCATCTCCAGATTTTGAAACGTGTCGGGTGGAACCCGCACCTTTTGTCAGTGTGCCGTCTCTGCCAATGCCTCCACCGCGCGAGACACCGGGTGCGCGCGGCATCTGCGCAGATACCGCGCATGCGCGCGAGATGTCCGGCAAAGCGGCGAAGCGATGCCGACGCGCGCGCCTCTGGTGTTCTGCAGAGCCGCCAGTGTCTTCCATGGGCGCGTGGCCCATCCTGTAAAAGCGTCTCCAGAATACGCCCGTGTTCTCAGCACCGCGACGGCGAACCCGGGCAATATCCTACATGCGCTTTGCTGCCCAACTGTTGCATGTTTGCTCCTGCTCTTTGGATACATTCCATGTTTCAGTAAGCCACAGACCAGATGCCAGCATATTTGGCGAGCCCATAGCTAGTCTCATCCTTGGGTGGGCATGTCGGCGCTAGAGGACATATGCCCAGCGGCAGTAAACCTTGTCAGCCTGCCGGAATCGGAGCTCCATGCTTGCCCCGCTATTCCTATTGATGCCAACGACATTTCCAAAGAAAACGATCGATTCTGACCAAGGGATCGCTTCATTCGGGAGCGGCCAAGAGGGGGGTGTCCAAGAAGGGGGGGTGCATATCATGACCGGCGGCACGTGCGCGGCCCAGCGGGGGGGCCAGGGACGTAATGAAATAAGGAGAGGCGCCATGAGATCTGGGGAAATATCATGGCCCCCGCCATGAGATCCACCCCCCCTAGTCATCACCCCCCCTCTTTGCCGCCCCCGAGCTTCATTCTCGGGGATGGACAGACCTCCCTTTAGTAAAACGTGGTTTAGTGAAAACGACCTCGGGCCCAAATCTGGCGGGCGCAAGCCTGGAAACTGACGGCCACGGCGCCCTCTCGAGAACCGAAAACGGACAATTCACTAATCGACGTGTCACTGTTGGGGGTTCTGTCCACTCCCGACCCCCCCCTCTTTGCCGCCCCCGAGCTTCATTCGCCATGGTCAGCGAGACTCCGGGCATCTGCGGCCAAAAAATCAGGTCTTCTCCGCTCCGGCGTCGGGCGCCGCTGCAGAAACACGCCTTGACTACTTCCGCCAGCAAGGCTTGGGCTTCGGATAGGGCCTCGGCAACCAACAGAACATCACCAACAAAAGCGACAGCACCGAGCCAGAAACTGTCAAGACTCTAGCCGTTTCCCTGTCCTCCTCTCCCGAACCTTTCCTGTTTATCCTCCGCGTTTCTCCTGATAGGGGAGCAGGGGGGGAGAAGATGATGGGACACTTGGATAGGATAATCGGAAATGTGCCGTCTGAAACAAATACCATTGGAACAGTACGGGGACCGAGGAGGAATCGGAAGCTAGATCGAAATGGAACCTACAGCCCCCCTCCGGGAAATCGGATTCGGATTCGGATTCGGGTTCGTGTCGTGCGTGCGAGGCGAAGCTGCGCGGGCGGGCGAAGACAAAAGTCCGCCCCCCCCTGGCTGCGTGGCGGGCGGGTGCCGGGGGTATCATGCCGTGGTGTCCCGATGGTGTCTCGTGGGGTCCCGTGGTGTCCCGCGATGTCTCGATTGGTGTCCCGATGGTGTCCTGGTGATGTGTCGGTGGTGTCCCGCAATGTCCCGCCGTGGTGTCCTGCCGTGGTGTTCCGTGGTGTCCCGTGGTGTCCCGTAGTGTCCCGTGGTGTCTCGCGGTATCCCGTGGTGTCCCGTGATGGTGTCCCGTGGTGGTGGTGTCCCATGGTGTCCTGCAATGTCCCGCCGTGGTGTCCCGTTGGTGTCCCGCAGTGTCCCGCGGTGTCCCGTGAGATCGATAGTGAGGTCGATCATGATATCGATAGTGAGATCGATGGTGAGATCGTTCGTGGGATAGACAGTAAGATCGACAGTGAGATCGACTGGGCAATGAACTGTGAGATCGATTGTGAGATCGATTGCATGAGGGGTCGTGAGATCGATTTTGATATCGATATTGATATCGGTTGGGCGATCGATTGGGCAATCGATAGTGATATCGACAGTGAGATCGATTGATTGAGACGTGGGTTCCTCCCCACCCCGAACCTCCTTACCACCCGAGGTGTGGTCGCATAGGTATGAGGACTACAAGCATTTGCTGGAAGGGAAGTGCGGTGAGGAGGAGGAGGAGGAGGAGGAGGAGGAGGAGGAGGAGGAGGAGAAGGATGAGAAAGAGGAGGAGAATGAGGAGGAGGAGTGAGGGTGAAGGAGGATGAAGGGAAGGAGGCGAGAGAAGCATGAGGAGGCAAAACGGCGGAGGAGGAGGAGGAGGAGGAGGAGGAGGAGGCAGAAGCAGGAGGGGGAGCGGCAGCAACAGCAAGAGGGCTGCCCTCCCCACGAGGAGCCCGTGGATCGGAGAGACCCCCAGGCCCCGAGCATGAGCAGCTGCTCCTCGCCGGGCCCGCCGGTGACTATCTGGAAGTAGATGCTGGGTGCGGCTCGCTTCTCGCGCGCGCGGAGGAGATGCCATCCTGCCCTGCATGGCGACCCGCCTCCTCCTCGTCCTGCTCCTCCCCCTCCCCCTCCCCCTCCTCCTCCTCCTCCTCCTCCTCCTCCTACTGTCCTCCTGATCCTCCTCCTCCTCCTCCTGCTCCTCCCCCTCCTCTTCCTCCTCCTCCTCCTCCTCCTTCCCCAATTTTGGTTGCGCGGCCATTGGCCCCAAACCAATAACACATGCCTTCCCATGTTGGACATACAGAACTGTCCGTCGCTGTGCTGAGTCACGTCTCCATCGCAGAGCGGCGGGGGACTGGGAAAGGGCACGCCACTCTTTGACAAACACCTTGCCCCGATCTGCGGCCGCCGCGATCGCCGCGGCGACCTCCAAAACCGTCGCAGAGGTCTCCCCAAAATAGACTCCGTCCACATCCTCCTCAGCCTCATCCATCTTGCGGCTTCCCCGCGGGTCCTGACCAGCACGGCGACCCAGGAGGAAGAGGGCGAGGTCGAAACGCCGTCCTGACCAGCCTGGCGACACCCAGGGGCACACCAATCGACACCCTGAGGTCCGGCAAATCCCCCTACAGGCGGATTTTGGGCGAAACATAAAAACGCAAGCATACTCCAAATTAGCCAAACATACTAAACAATCGTCCCCAGACTTTGTGTTGGCTATTTTTGAGCGTTCCTTCTGTAGAATGTAGAGGGACAGGAGAGCCCAGAATCGAATCGATAAGTCGGATCGGCGATCGAAATGAGTCGGATCGGCGGAAATCGGCGGCCGAGTCGGGAAAAGTCGAATCGGCGGACATCGGCAGGCTAATGTGCCTCCAGTAAGGAATCGGAGCCCAAATCGGAATCCGAAGTCCAATCGAATCGGAATCGGAAGCCATCGGAGTCGAATCATCGAATCGGAGGAATCGAAACGAGCCCTGGAGGGACAGGCCCGACTCAGCGACACCCAGACCCACCTCGGGGAGCGATCTGGCCAACCGAAGCGGATGCAGCCGTGGCGGATCCGGCCGCGGCGGCGAGGAGCCTCCCTCGGAAGGCCCTCTTGGAAGGGGCCCAGGGACACACCAAGAAATCCGCCGATGCGGCGTGTGAGTTTCTGAGAGCGTGGGCTTGAGCTCGCTCAAGCTTCGCTCTGCCGAGGGGGGGGAGGAACTCATTTCCGACCCATTTCCGACCTAATTCAGTGCTTCGCCTCCCGACCCATTTCCGACCCCTTCCCCCCCCCCCCCCCCTCCAGAGCGGACCTCCCCCCCTCCTGCAGCCGAGCCCCCCCCACCCCCAGAGCGCCCCCCCTCCCCTCCCCTGCAGCCCCCCCCTCCCCCCCCCCTCTCCGAGCTGAACCCACCCCCCCTCCCTCCCCTGCAGCCCCCCCCCTGCAGAGCTGAGCAGACCCCCTCTGCCCCTGCCCCCCCCCCTGCAGAGCGGACCCCCCCCCCCCCCTCCCCCCTCCCCCCTCCCTCCCCCCACCCCCCCTAGCGGCTGACGACCCCCTCCCCCTGCCTGCCCCCCCCCTAGCCGCTCCCCCTGCAGAGCGACCCCCCCTCCCCTGCAGAGTGGACCCCCCCCCTGCAGCCAGCCCCCCCCCCCTCCCCTGCAGAGCGACCCCCCCCCGTGCAGCCCCGCCCCCTGCAGAGCGGACCCCCCCCCCTCCCCTGCACCCCCCCCCCTGCAGAGCAGACCCCCCCTCCTGCAGCCCCCCCCTGCAGAGCGGTCCCCCCCTCTCCCCTGCAGCCCCTCCCTCTGCCGAGCGGACCCCCCCTGCAGAGCAGACCCCCCCCCTGCAACCCAGCTCCCCCCCCGTCGTCGTCGTCGTCGTCGTCGTCGTCGTCGTCGTCGTCGTCGTCGTCGTCGCGTCGTCGTCGTCGTCGTCGTCGTCGTCGCTCGCGTCGTCGTCGTCATCGCGTCGTCGTCGTCGTCGTCGTCGTGGTCGTTGTCGTCGTCGCTCGTCGTCGTCGTCGTCGACGTATTCGTTTTCGTCGTCGTTTTCGTTTTCCTCGTCGTCGTTCATTTCCACAGGCACCCGGAGCGCCCCGGATCGGCGGCACTGGCCGGAGGCCACTACGATACACAGAAACCCCACGATCCCCAATCGTTCTCCGTAGTTTCTGGATTTTCGTCTTCCCCCCCACCCCCCACTTCCTTCATTTTCCTATATTTTCCTGGGGGTCGACGCTGAATTGTGTCTGTGTGTTTTTTCCCTTCTGAATCTTGGAAGGGTGGATCGGGGGCCCGAGAGCTCCGGGCCACGAAACCCAACGGGGCCGGAAGAGGCCAACCAGCATCGATCTGATCCTCATCCCCGATCCCTGAGATCTCCGCGCCCGAGGTGATGACGATCTCACGGACTGGCCCTCGGAAGCGGCGGGGGTCCTCAAGAGTGGCACCGAGACAAGGCGATGCCAACCACACGGATGTGGATATCAGAGTGAGGGGGCCGAAGAATCATTCATTGTCCCTGGGTGGGTGGGCTGAAGTGAGAGTCCGTGGTGAGGACTATGATTGTTGCGATGCTGGTGTTGTTGGTGTTGTTGTTCGTTGTTGTTGTTGTTGTTGTTGTTGTTGTTGTTGCTGTTGCTGTTGTTGTGTTTGTTGTTGCTGTTGTTGTTGTCGTCGTCCCACCCGCAACCCATCCCGCGACCCATTCCGCGACCCAGCCCGCGACCTACCCGCGACGCAACCCGCGTCCCACCCGTGACCGACCCTGCGACCCACCCGCGACCTGATCCAAAGGCCCTAATAACGAAACTTAGAAACTTAGCGAAAACAGTCCCCTGCCTCTGTTTTAAAGAACGCGACGCAGCGGTAGGGATGAGGAGAAAGGAAGAGAATACGACGACGGCTGGACGCCCGCCGTGAAGGACGGAGGAAGAGGAGAAAGAGCATGGAGGAGGAAGGAGGAGGGGGAGGAGGAGGGGGAGGAGGAGGAGGAGGAGGAGGAGGAGGAGGAGGAGGAGGAGGAGGAGGAACAGGATCTCTCTCTCTATATATGTATATATGTATACAATATATATATATATATATAATATTATATTCGAGTATGGAGGGGGGAGGGGAGAGGACGGGGAGGGGGAGGATGACGAGGGGTAGTTGGGAGGAGGATGAGGAGAAGGAGGAGGAGGAGAAGGAGGAGGGGTAGGGGGAGCGGGAGGGGGGGGTGGGAGGGGGAAGAGAGGGAAAGGGAGGAACATGAATAGAAGGAAAAGGATGAGGAGGAGCAGGAGGAGGGGAAGGAGAGGAGGAGGAGGAGGAGGAGGAGGAGGAGGAGGACGAGGAGGAGGAGGAGGAGGAGGAGGGAAGAGGGAGGAGGAGGAGGTGGAGGAGAAAAGGAGGAAGAGGAGGAGGGGGAGGAGGAGGAGGAGGAGGCGAGGAGGAGGAGGAGGAGGAGGAGGAGGAGGAGGCGGGTGAGGCGGAGGCAGACGAGGAGGAGGAGAAGGAGGAGGAGGGGAGGAGGAGGAGGAGGAGGAGGAGGAGGGGATGAGAAGAGGGGGAGGAGCAGGAGGAGGAGGAAGAGGGGGAGGAGCAGGAGGAAGAGGAGGAGAGGAGGAGGAGGAGGAGGAGGAGGAGGAGGACGAGGAGGAGGAAGGAGGAGGAGGGGGGAGGACGAGGAGGAGGCGGAGGCGGAGGCGGAGGCAGAGGCAGAAGCGGACGCGGAGGCGGAGGCGGAGGAGGAGGCGGAAGCGGAAGAGGAGGAGAAGGAGGAGGAGGAGGATGAGGAGGAGGAGGAGAGGGATGAGGAGGAGGAGGAGGAGGACGAGGAGGAGGAGGAGGAGAGTGAGGAGGAGGAGGAGGAGGGGGAGGAGGAGGAATGTGTGAGTGAGTGAAAGAATGAGTGCGCTGGGAGGGCGTCCCAATCCGAAAACCACAGCTCCACGAAACCTCGACGCTCCTGAGCTCAAACCAGCTTCGGCGCTAGAACTGTGAAGTGAGATCTCGTGCCCTCTGCGAGCGACGAGGACTGAAATGCCTCCCTGACCAGCACGACTGGCCAGCACGAGACATCTGGGTGTGCGACAGGGGGAGTTATTCGAGGGGGGACCAAGCCGCCGACGTCATGACTTCTTCACGACGTCGAACCCCAAGGGTCTCGACCCATTCGCTGGGGCTGGTTTTTTCACACTGAATCGTTTCTTGACGGTCCCGAAACCGGGCTCGGGCCCTCCAGGGGCCGAGCATCGAGACCCACATCCCGTCGAGATGTTCTCATGCCTCGAGGGGGGCCCGGGGCGGAGAATGGAACAACTTTTATGTTTTTTTTCTCTCCGGGCCTCTGGGGGGGGGGCGCCAGGGGGCTTTTCGGGGCGTCGGCGAAAAACTACCGGAAGACGGCGAGCGCCTAAGACGGCCGGCGGCGAGAAATCGATTACTGGACCATGCGGGGAGCAGCGCGCCTCAGAAAGTGTACCGGGGGTAGCAGCGGCGATGACGAACAGAGCAGGAGGAGGATGGATCGGGTCGGGCGAAAGGGGGGGATAGCAAAAGGGGGGTTTGAGAACCAGCTCACGCAGCTGATTTTCCCGGCGCCTCCCGGCGCCGGATGGAGCTATGTATCGAGGAATGGGCCCCTCGGCGGGGCCGAAACCAGCTGCATGCAGCAAATTTCGTAACCCCCCCTTTCCCAATCCCCCCCTTTCGCCCGGCCCGAGAGGAGGATGGAGAAACTGCCGTCCTCACCAGCATGGCCAGCCACATGAGCCCGGCCACCACCAGCAGGAAGTCCAGCAGCGGCCCGCCCTCCGCGGGCGGCGGGCGCGGCCCGACAGCCTCGGCCTGCGCTCTGGGGGGGCGCGCAGGGGAGGCATGCTGCGCCTTGGGCACACGCCAGCATGTCCTCCTCGTCCTCGTCCTCGTCCTTGTCCTCGTCCTCGTCCTCGTCCTCGTCCTCGTCCTTGTCCTCGTCGTCGTCGTCGTCGTCGTCGTCGTCGTCGTCGCCGTCGTCTCTGTCGTCGTCGTAGTCGACCTCCTCCTCCTCCTCCTCCTCCTCCTCCTCCTCCTCCTCCTCCCAGGGAGCAGGTGCTCTCTCGGGCACACGCCAGCATGGACCCTGCCCTAGGCCACCACAAGTCGCTGAGGGGCAATCCCTCTTGAGGTGCACAACTGCGGGGCGAATCCGAACGTTCCTGGACGGGGCGTGCTATCGGTCCCCCACAGGCGATGCAGGGGAGACTGGGTCCCGATGCGTCACCCCTGAGCCCATCCCCCTGACGTTGCGCTGGGCTCTCTCGGGCACGCGCTTTTTTTTCGCGGCGCCGGCGACCGAGCGGAGTGGTCGAATCCTGGGTGGGGTCGCGGCAAGGCAACTGTGATGCAAGAGATCGGGAAGCGAGTGGGGGGCTCTCTCACTTGGGCGCCGCGCCGACACGGGCCCTGGGCCACCGAACTTCGCGCACCGCGCGCCGCGATGCGCGACCATCTGCGTGAGGGGCGCAGGGGGCCCGTGCTCTCTCGGACACGCCCACAGAAGCGACATTACGCCGTGGCTGACGCGAGATGGCATGGCGACCTTACCCTTCGGCTTACGCGGGCCGCCGGCGCGGCACGCCACATTGGAGACGAACTGCTTACGCGCGAACGTCGGTGCAATTGAACCCTTTTTCTTCCGGCGCCCACTTGGGTTCTGGGCCACCGAACTTCGCGACCTCGGGGGGGAGGGGCGCCGTTCTGCTCCGGGGTTCGCGACGCGCGACGCGCGGTCGCCCTCAAGCCTCCGCGGGTGATCTGCAATCAAAACTGACAGTACGGATCCGCGGCAAGGGTGCAGGGGCCTTGGAAGGCCATGTCGAGGCTCTTCGAGCCTGGCGCGGCCAGCCAAAGTTACCAAGGATGGACCGAAGAGACACGCATGCAAGGGTACCCTTTGGCCATCATTACGATCGGTTTCGGCTGTACAATAGGGGCCCTTCCACAGGAAACCTTCCACAAGCAACCCAACCCTGAGATCCCAGGACGTCCATTGATTTTTGGTGTTGGAACGTCACGCCTTCCATAGCAAAACCATTGGAACCCAAGAAACACAGGGCACCCTGGAGGCGAGCAGGGTGTCTCTTGGCATGGGCCTCCCCTGCAGTGGACCACAACTCCGTGGATCTGGCGGGGCCCCACAGCCGTGTGGTGACGGACCGCGTGGTGACCTCGCCATCCCCGGCGACCTCACCGCGCGGTCCGCCGCCGCACGGCTCGGGGACCTCCATGCCCCCCCCCCGAGACGCCCGCCGCCGTCCTTGGCACACGGCCAGGGCCCCCCCAAAACCGTGCGGAAACCCAGGGCCCCCCATCGATGCGATGCAAGCTATGCGGTGCAAGCTGTGCGAGCCACGATCAACAACGGGTCTTGAGCGAGATGACGTAGCGACCTTACGTCGCGGCTTACGCGGGCCGCCAGCACGGCAGGTTACACAGGAAACGATGGCACTTACGCGCGACATTACGCGAGGAGCTTACGCGCCCATGTCGGCGCAGGCGACCCGGTTTTTTTGCTAGGGCTCCCAACTTCGCGCTTCGCGCTCCGCGAAGCGCGAATAACTTCGCGCTCTCGCGCCGCCCCCCCAAAGGGACAAAAGGAGGACGAGGAGGAGGGGGAGGAGAAACGAGGACCGCGAAGCGCGAATAACTTCGCGCCCTCGGGGGAGCCCTTGTTTTGGCGTCGCTCATGTGGTGTTAGCTGTGGGCTGCCAGTGAAACCTCGGCGGACCCCTCAAGTGGGCGGCCACGAGGCGGCCTCGGGCGGGGACGCGGCGAAATCTCGGCGGACCCTCCAAATGGGCGGCCACGCTGACTCACCGCGTGGCGTTGTCGCCACATCGTCTGGGGACCCGATGCCGCGAACAAGAAAACTGCAACGTCGTAAAAAATCACGACGGGAGCCCAGGACCCCATCTTTCTGCTAAGACGAAGCCAGAACAAGGAAACATTCGGGTGAGGGTGAATCGAGAATCTCTGAAATCTGGCGGCTCTGGCAAAAAATATCGGTCGCCGCGGCCTTCTCAGAGCGCTCCGGAACGCTCTGAAAACGCCCTGAACATTATCTCTGCATCATGTGTCGCGCCCGATCGATCTGCGAGGATCCAGGGGCCCGAACCCGGGCGAAAACGCCCGCTGTGAACGAAAATGCAGAGCCTGGATCCGAAAGAGGGAGGGTCGGACGGCGACCAATTTATTCGAGTTCAATGATTTCACCTTTGACGAGTTCCTCTGGAAGAACGCTCTTCCCGAAGACTCGTCCAGATGAAATCCCACCAGCCCTCTGGGCGTAGGTGGTTTAGGGCGGCTCCTCTTCCGACCCCCTTTCTTCTCCTTCGGGGAGGGGTTAATCACAGTTCCCTATTGACATACACTCCCTCCCCCAGGCGACTAGGAGCCAACCCGAGCCAATGAGGGCCCCCCCGCCATCCCTGGTAACACAAAAAAGCAATACGAACACACACTCTGCCTCCAAATTCGGAGCCAGCGCGGAGAACCCGATGCGGCCTCCCCCTACCATCCCTGTCAACAAAAACAATGCAAGATACACTTGGCGGCGGCGGCGGCGGCTGCGGCGGGGGCAGCGGCTGCGGCGGCGGCGGGGGTGGCGGCGGCGGGGGCGGCGGCGGCGGCGGGGGCGCGGCGGTGCGGGGGCGGCGCGGCGGTGGGGCAGTGGCGGCGGCGGCGGCGGGCGGCGGGGGCAGCGGCTGCGGCGGCGGCGGGGGTGGCGGCGGCGGGGGCGGCGGCGGCGGCGGGGGCGGCGGCGGTGGCGGGGGCGGCGGCGGCGGTGGCGGCGGCGGCGGCGGCGGCGATTGGCGGCGGCGGCGGCGGCGGCGGCGGGCGGCGAGGCGGCGGCGGCGCGGCGGCGGCGGCGGCGCGGCGGCGGCGGCGGCGGGCGGCGGCGGCGGCGGCGGCGGCGGCGGCGGCGGATTGGCCCCCAGTAGGTGCCCATCCAAAGACGACTGCTGCATATGCTGCGGCTCGGGCCAGTCTCGGGTGCTACGTACGTGTTGGGAGGGCGGGTGGGAATCAACGAGACGGCTTGCGGGCGGGGAGGGCGTCTTGACCCCTCCCCCATACCCCCTCCCCTGGACCTGGACGGGGCGCCCCGCCAGCGGTCAGGGCGTCCAAAAACGGCCTCGGCAAGGAAGGCAACATCATTGGTTTTACACATGTTTTGGCCTCATTTTGGCCTCTTGGGGGGGCGATGCTAATTCAGGGAACTCCCTTCTTTGATCGATGTCCTCCGAGTGCCCCCACGAGCGCTCCCAAGGCTCGCAAGGGTGCCCGAACAAGTGGCCAGCAGACCCCAAGGGGCCCCCAAGAGGCCCCAAGGATGCCCCCAAGAGGCCCCCAAAAGGCTCCCAAGAGACCCCCAAGAGGCCCCCCAGAGGCATCCAAGACGCGGCGAGAATGCCACAATCATTGATTCGACCACGGTTTTGGCCACACTTTGGCCTCCCGGGGGGGGGCGCTGATTGAGATGATTCCAAGAGCTTCTGGGAAAGCCCAAGATGACCTCCAAGATGACTTAAGATACCCCCAAATGCCTCAATATGGTTCCCACGATGCTCCTTGAGGCCCCAGGACCGCGCCAAGACTACAACAAGTGGCCAAAAACCTCCCCCAAGAGGTCCCGAAGAGACCCAAATCCTTCCAACACCTTCCGACAATGAGTGTTTTTGGCTTTCTCGCCTTTTCGCTTCAGATGGCCATCCGAGGCCTCAAGATGGCTCCAAGATGGCCCAAGAGGGCTCCAAGAGCGCTCCCAAGGCGACCAGGAGTGCTTTAAGAGGGCCCCAAAAAGTGCCCAGGAGGCCCCAGGAGGCCCCGACAGGCGCCCAATAGGCCTCCAAGAGGCTCCCAAGAGACCCCCAAGAGGCCAAGAAGCTCTGCGAGGCACCCAAGACGCTCTAAGAGGCGTCCAGGACTGCCAAAAGGCCCTCAAGACGCTCCAAGAGGCCTCCACTGGGGACCCTTCCTCTGTGTGCTGCCCACTTCCCGGGTCGAGGCAATCCCACTGGGCATCGTTTCTGGATGTTTTTTTTTTTTGTTGTTTCTTCTTCTTCTTCGGGGGGGGATCGCGACAGCAGGCGGGCGCCCGCGCGGCGTCCAAAGGGTCGAACAGCGAGCGAGAGCTGGGGCGCACGTGTCCTGGTGGGGTTACTTTTTCCTCGCGGGCGCAAGCGAAAGCGCAGGCGCCGAGTTGAAAGGTCCGGGACACGGGCCGATCTAATTCACCCTGGTGGGGTTACTTTTTTTGATCTGCGGCTCCAAGGACGATTCCAGAGAGCGGGTCGTGACCTGGTGGGGTTACTTTTTTGATTAGCGGCCCGCAAGGAAAAGTCCAGAGGGCGTAAGGGCCGAGGCTGGGGCACAGCGCAATATAATTAGCGCGAGAACGCGCGAAGTGCATGTGCAGCGAGGAGACGCCCTGTCGGCGCCAGCTCGGGAAGAAGGCCAGACCGGCCGAAGGCGGCGGGAGCTGCGGACAAGCAGCGACCACTTGCCAGCCGCAGCGCGCACGGGGCCCGTACCCATGCAGCCGCGACGGCCAATTCAGCTGTAGGCAGCAGGGGAACTTATTACCTACAGGCAGAGCGAAGGAGCGAGAGCAAGCAGAGGGAACCCTCACTCACGGAGCACCCGGTGCTCACCGATTACCACAAGAGCGCGACTGGACAACTCCGACGAATAGGGTACACTGACTGACGAGCGTGCCTTGCTCGTATCCCAACCCTGATACCACGGCCTGTGCCAGAGTGGCGCGCCGTAGCCCGCTGCTATATATCCTCACTCCAGGAGATGACCCGGTGCATCCAAACTGCGGGGCGACAAGCGCACTAAGCCACACCGATCCCGCCGACAGGCGTCTGCCGTGTCCCAGGCGCGGTGAAGGGCGACTGCAGCTTGCCGGCATCCCCGTGCTGGGTAGTGCTGCAGCCCCTAGCCTTGCCACGAGAGCGAGCTGGCCTGTACGCAGGAAGGCCCAGAGCAGTGTGGGAGGGGTTATTGCAGCCGGACCCCGCGAGCGGAGCCCACGGATACCATGGGCGGACGCAGTGAAAGTGCACCGCGCTCCCAGGAGGACGCGCGTGAACTGGCCCAGCTCCTTCACCTGTGGCCTGTCAATGAGCAGCCTGGAGACTTGAAGTCCTTTGAGTGCCACAAGCCGATGGGGCGCCACCATCGCACCCAGAGCGCAAGGGGGAGGGGGGGGGCAGCCGATAGCCGCTAGCAGTTGAATAAAGTGAAGGACCCGAGCGAACCCAACACGAGGACCCAACAGGCGCCAGGTGCCACCCGGGCCGGAGAAGGGAAGCCACGCGGGCACGCCGTCGGACTTCAAAAGGTGAAGCGTGAGGGGGAGGTGGCCTTCAGCCAGTCACCTCAGACTCCACGGGCCTGCAATCAGCGCGGCCCAAGATCCGTGGGTGGGGTTGTTTCAGCCGACCGCGCGGGCAGGGAACCCACAGGGCGCCGCGGGTAACTGCGCTCAGTGTGGGGGTGCCCCTCGAACCCATGAGGTGGCACAAGAGCTGTGGCCGAGGCCGGCCACTGCGGGCGGGGGGCGGAGGGGGCGGGGCCTTCAGCCGATCGCCCGAACCCTCCATGGGCCAGCGTAGAACGCGGGCAAGAACCGTGGGTGGGGTTGTCTCAGCCGACCACACGGGCTACTAGCCCACGGAGTGACGTGGGCGTCTAACGCAGTGTGGGGGTGCACCTCACTCCCAAGAGGTAGCACGGGGACCAAGGCCGCGGCCTGCCACTGCGGTGAAACGATTGCGCTTCGCCTGGGGGGCTGCCAGGAACAAATGCAGCTCAGGGGGGCCCCATTGTCCCCGCGGCGCGCCCAGGTTGGCGGCGCCAGCCTGCGCGGGGCAGGACCTGCGATTGTCACCTGCCGCCGATCGGACACCAGGTCGTAGGGGCGACGAGGGGGAGGAGGAGAGCAGCCGATAGCCGCTGGACATTTGAATACAGGGGGGAGCGGTGCCCAAGGGAACAGAGGGCCACACTTCCAGCGGCTCCAGGAGGGAGAGGAGGGGGGCAGCCGATAGCCGCTGGGCGATTAGAACTGGGGGGTAGCCGTATGCTGAGTGGTACACCTCACTCCCAAGGGTTGACCAATGTGTACGGCTGCTGCCTGTCACTTATGAAGAAAGCGCCCCTGTCCAAGGCGGCTCCAGATCGTGTGACCTTGGGGGTCCGAGGCCACGCCATCCCTGCTTTGAGCAGTGACCTCTTGTCAGGCCTGCGGCCAGCGTCACCAGCGGTCGAACTCCCTCCCTCGCTGTCGCTTGTCGGCGTATTGTACGTCGCCTCTCTGGGCGGTCCTTTTTTCCTTGGCACCCCAGTCTGCACCGCTCCATGAGCTTTCCTGGCGGCCCCGCCCCTCCCATGGCGGCCGTGGGTGCCATGGGGCGGTGGAGCTGGATGCCCCCGATCGCGCTGTGACCCTGTAGTCGGTATACGCCGGCGGGGCAGCTGTGTCAGCCCTAGGCTTGCTCCACGGGTGCCGCTGGTCACCTCCACTGGGTTCGCCTGAGGGGGATGCGTGCGTGGTGCCGCTGGCCCTGTCGGGTGGTGCCAGGGGAGTAGGCACTGCCCTGCTGTTGGCAGCCCATGGATACGGGCGGCCGTCGCTATCGTGTCCCTTGAGGTTACGCGTCCATGTGTCGCGTTGTAGCAGGTTGCGATGCTTCTCCGTGACTGCCGGCCAATCCACCCGGAGCTGGTGATCTCTTGCCAACTTGTAGGCATCATAGCCCGCTTTTTCCCATGCCAGGAGGAATTCCTCGCATAGCTGTGCTGTGTTCTTCTTGGGGTCAGAATGGATGCGGGTCCACGGAAGACCCGACCTGCTGCCTGCCTTACGGACCTATGCAGTCCACACCCCGTTGAATGCGCCACCCAGTGACTTCTGCAGTCTGATGATTTTGTCAGGGGCTGGCTCGTCTCCCTTAGTGTCTGCCTCGTAGATGGGCCTCATGTACATGGGAAGCCCGCCCAAGGGGTCGTCTCGGCTCGGAGGTGGGGGTGGGGCAGCCTGTTGGCCGGGCCGCCTGTCCGGACTGCGGTGCTGCCGAGGTGGGCTGGGTGGCGGACGGGTCTCGCGCTCCGACGCAGCTTGCTCTGCACTGGACTGCTGACGGCGGTCTGACTTGCTCCCCGCTCCTCTCAGGTCTCTGCCGTCACGGATCTGTTCCATGACCGACCGGGAGCGGGCCGTAGCAAACGGCGTCCAGGTTGCCGACTTTTCCTTTGGCGGGGTGTGTGTCCACAGCACTGTCCGACTGGGGGGGCTGGTGGGGTTACGCGAAGCGTCTAGAATTGCCTGGATGGGCTCGCCTGGATGAACTCGCTTCGGAAAAAACGGGGGGCTTCCGATTTGGGGGGACCGCCCCCCCCCCCCCCGGGAATCTTGAAGCCAGCGCGTCCCCGTGCTTCTCAAGGGAGCCTGGGGCGCGGGGGCGGCTTGTTGCGCGGGGGAGAGCTCCCGCGCACACAGCAGGCCTCAGACCTCCAGGCCCCAGGCACGCGCCCTGAGGCCAGCGCATCCGATCGAAAAGGGGCGGGGGGGGGCAGCCGCGCGCCTGCCGCGCGGGGCCCGCCAGCAAGGGCGCGCACAGGCCCGCCGCCAGAAGCCGCGGCCGCGGCCGCGGCGACGGGGTGCCCAGGAATGCTCGGCGCGCCGGGGGCGCCTGCGCCCCCCGCCCCCCCCCCCTCCCCCCCCTTCCCCCCCGATTGGAGGGCCACGAGCAGGAGCTCCTGCTCCTCCTTCCCTCCTCCTCCCTCCCTCCTCCTCCCTCCCTCCTCTTCCCTCCCTCCTCCTGCCTCTTCCTCCTCCTCCTCCTCCTACTCCTCTTTTTCCTCTTCCCTCCCTCCCTCACTCCCTCCTCCTCCTCCTCCTCCTCCTCCCTCCTCCTCCGTAGCCATTTGGGCTTGAACTCATGCGGCCCAAAGCGCGTAAAACATTTTGGTTCGAACGCGTCATGGAGCCGCGCCCCGCGCTTCCAAGTAGCGCTTGACGGGCTGCGGCATCGGGTCATCCGCGCCACGATGCGCAGCCGATCCTGGTGGCTAAGCGGGGCCAATTCGATGGATGCTTCTTTCTGGTAGACTGCAGTCTTGTGCAACAGCGCACATATTTGAGAACATATCGTAGCATATTGGCATGGTGCTTCCGCAAAGGGTTGCTCTTGGTCCACACGGTGGTCGATCTTGCCCCTTCGACTCATGGTGTGTTTCAGAGAGCTTGCCATTGATTGGTTCTCTTGTCACGCAAGTCTGTGGGCACGGGCAAGTAGGTTTACCAGATCTACCAGTATCTTTTGATGGAGAGAACTTCCAGGACATCCGCACTCCGCGCAAGCAACGGTTCGGATGGACGGGAAGGTGGCGGGGCCTCTCGGCATGTACTACAATGCCACAACGGGCCTCGCCGGAAGGCTTGTGTTACAACGCCCTGCCAGCGCGTGCGATAACGGCAGGGAGTCGCAGTGGGTGGTGCCGCTGCGGAGCAAGGTGGGGAGGTGGAGCATGCCCTTACCATCATAAACCATTTGTCTTGGATCAGTCCGTGCGGGCGGGCAATGTTTTTTTCTGTTCTGTTGCAGCTCAATGTGTATACAACTTTTAGCTCAACGAGTGATGCCATGAAGAATGCGTGGCTTTGTTGTATTCGCCCATGCACGACAGGCGGGAAAGCAAGCACGACCAAGTTGGGATGCAGCGAGGTGTGCACGTGTCGGTTCACGGGGAAGTTCAGCCTTGTGAAACCTGTGGCTGCGGGGGCCCGCCTTCATGTGCCTGCGCAGTGTGTTCCCTGCTGTTTGGAGGTAATCATTCACATGGGGTTGCTGCAATGCTCCCTACAGTTTCGGCATTGTGTTCTGCATGGGCGGATGGCGTGCTACTTCTTCATGCTGGCCGCGTCGCTGGGCAGCATACGCATATTCATCGCTACGCGATTGCAAAATCCCTAGAATCCTCCCTCCTCCTCGTCCTCCCCATTGTCATCCCAATCTAAGCAACATGAATACCACGTTCCCTCCTCCCCGGAAGTTGTTCCGAAGATCTCCCGCCCCCTCCGCGGGCTGCTTCTTACACATAGGATTTGAAACACTGATTTGTCTCGTGGTTTTCTACAATCCGATGGTGCTCCCGCTGCAACGCTTCGAAATGGTGCTCCCGCTGCAACGTGGGCATCATGTTCGAATCGGCGCGTTGCTCCCGTCTTTCAGAATGGCGCTCTCGCCTCAACGCTGGTCGCTGTTCTGGATCCGAGCTTTGCTTCCGTGTGGTACCCCTCTCATGTCCCCTCCTCCGCCTTCCCCTGGCCCTCCTGTTCCTCCTGCTCATTCCACTCCAACTGCTGCTGCTGTTCGCCTCGTCCAAGCGCGGGCCACCGTTCTGAATCAGAGTCTTTCTTCACCCTTGCCGCACGCCTCATGGACCCTTCCTCGGCCTTTTCCCCTGGTCCTTCCGTTTCCTCCCGCCCATCCTCTTGAACACCTGACATCTCAGGCCATCTCCCCCTACTCCTGCCGTGCGGGCAGCTTGCCTGCTTCCGATCGCGCATAACACGAAATGGCATTACTGTGGGAATCGCAGGTCGGTCTGACACGCATCCGCTGCTAGAGAAAAATCAGCGCCATGGATAAGGATCAGAGGGAGGGATAGGATGTCAGATGAGGCGCGCATGCCCCTAGTTTGCCCCTCCGCGTCCGCAACCATTATCGTTCCCATTCCCAGCCAGGTTGTCGGGCGACCAGTGGGAGCGACAGAGGGTGCGAGAGTTCAAGGCAGCACCGACACGGCTGGCGGCGCCGCCGTTCTTGCTTGCGCATCATTGTGCGAGTGTTCTGTCGTGAGCGTCCTGTGCTCCCGTGGTCGTGGCCCAGCACTTGGGGCTCGAGCAATCGCCGTTCTCATGGCGCCTCCTCGCCCGCCGGCCCTTCTCCTGTTCAGAAAAGGTGACTTTTTGATGTGGTGGGTGGTGGGGTTGTGAGTTGGAGGGGGGGGGGGGCACGTCTTATCGTTACACGCTGGTCGGAAGAAGTGGGTAGAAACATGAAGTAGGAAAGCGGGTAAAATAGATTGGGCTCGGGCCCGCCAAACAATCCGCCGGCCCCCTTGTGGGGCCACCGGGCTGTAGGCCGAAGCTTCGCAGTTTCCTGTGCCAGTTGCAGCTTCCAGTTTCCACTGTTACAGTTCTGCTTCTTGCTGCCTACTGTTCCTTGTCACACTTATGCTTCTTGCTGCTCACTGTTCCTTGTTGATGGACCGCGCGAGGGGGGGAGGCCCAAAACGGGCATTTTTACCAGGCCCTTAGCGTGTGCTCAGAATTGCTGGGGTGGGTACAAATTTACACCCCTCACGCATATCGGCCGGGTCAGGGTCCAAAAACACAAGGCCTTTGCCACATTTCTGAAATTCGGTGGCACCCCTCACGCAGATCGGCGGGGTCAGCAAGGGATGTGCCGCATTAAAAAAAAAAATCGGTTGCGCCCCTCACGCAGATCGGCGGGGTCAGGGTCCAAAAACAGATGGGATTTGCCACATTTCTGACATGCGGTGGCACCCCTCACGCAGATCGGCAGGGTCAGGGTGCAAAAACACAAGGGATTTGGTACATTCCTGAAATTCTGCGGCACCCCTCATGCAGATCGGCGGGGTCAGGGTCCAAAAACACCAGGGATTTGGTACATTCCTGAAATTCGGCGGCACCCCTCACGCAGATCGGCAGGGTCAGGGTCCAACAACACAAGGGATTTGCTACATTTCTGAAATTCGGCGGCACCTCTCACGCAGATCGGCAGGGACAGGGTCCCAAAAAGTCAACAGATTTGCAACATTTCTGAAATTCGGTGGCACCCGTGACGCAGATCGGCAGGGTCAGGGTCCAAAAACATGTGGGATTTGGTGCATTTCTGAAATTCGGCGGCACCCCTCACGCAGATCCGTAGGGTCAGGGTGCAAAACAACAAAAGATTTGCTACATTTCTGAAATTCGGTGGCACCCGTGACGCAGATCCGTAGGGTCAGGGTCGAAAAACAAACAGGTCCCGACACTGCTTCACGGCGGCGCCCAGACCTCATGATTTAGCTTGTGCATCTCCAACTATCCGAGACAGGGGGCCGGCGGCATGGGGCGAAGCCCTTACGGATAACAAACAATAACCAATTCATGTCGATTCATAAAGTCGGAAGGCGTTTGAAGTAGATTGGGTCCTGGGGATCCAAGGATACCTGCTTTCAACGACCGATGGGTACTGTGGTATCACCAGAAACTGCGGAGACTTGATCGTGCCATTGTGTATCACTGAGGTGTTCTGGCAATTAACCCACTCCTGGAACGAATGGCGTCTCTGTCAAGTGGTGAAGGGCCGCCATGCCACCAAGAGGTAGCCAGACACGAATGACGCGGATTGCGCTTCAAAGCGCCATGGAATGATACACGTGCCCCAAATGCACCTTTTCACCAACTACCTTCTGCAAATGACTTGCCATCCTGCGTGGGCGTCAAGCCACCCACTTTGATTTGTTTCCAGGCTCTGCCACCCATGAAACTGCTGGAGCACCAGACTACCATCGTAACATCGAAGCCACTTGTTGTACCGCACTGCCCTCCATCCCCGTCACAAGTGGACGCTTTCAATTACTAAGGCGCATGTGCGCGCCGCTGAAGCGAGAACCACAATTTCAACACCAACCGCCCCTCATCCGTGTAATGTGTGCAGGGTGCAAACTTGGGTGGCACCACAGCGACAACTGCATGTTGGGAACCAAAGTTCCTCCATTCGATCTCGCTTGAGACGAGTCTGGCGTACCCAAAGCTCGAGACGAAGTACCCTTGCTGGACGGCGTCCTGTGATCTAACACCTGCAAGATCCTCTTGAAGCCTCTCATCAGACTCGGATCGGAGACGCCCACCTGCTCTCCCTCCTCTTTCCTCCTCCTCCTCCTCCTCTTTCCTCCTCCTCCTCCTCCTCCTCCTTCTACTCTCTCTTCCACCTCGCCCTGCTTCTCCTGCCGTCTCACCCCGCTCCTCTTTCTCCTCCTGCCTCCTCGTCGTCGTCCTCCCTCCTCCCTCCTCCCTCCTCCCTCCTCCCTCCTCCCTCCTCCCTCCTCCTCCTCCTCCTCCTCCTCCTCCTCCTCCTCCTCCTCCTCCTCCTCCTCCCTCCTCCTCCGCCCTCCTCCTCCGCCCTCGTCCTTGTCCTCGTCTTGCCCCTTCCAACGATGCGTCCCCCTTCGACCAGCAACGTGCGGTGGGGAACTGGCTCGGGGGGAAGGGAGGCGAACATCGAGGCTCTCGATATGAAGGGGAACTGGGACACACACAAATAAATACACACAAACAAAAAGATCCCCCTATTTTTTCTCATATTTTCGGGGTTTTTGTCTTCCCCCCCACTTCCCACATTTTCCCATATTTTCTGGGAATCGCCGATGAATTGTGTCTGTGTGCTTTTCCCCTCCTGACGACAGCGAGCCCACACGGCCCTGGGCGGGGGTGGGCAGTCGGGCCCTTCTCTCGGCGATCGGGTGGGCGATCGAGGGTCGACGCGTCCCCCTCCGAGCCATGCTGCCCTCACGCTGCCCACTCCCTCCTCCCTCGTCGTCGTCCTCGTCGTCCTCGTCGTCCTCGTCGTCCTCGTCGTCCTCGTCGTCCTCCTCCTCCTCCTCCTCCTCCTCCTCCTCCTCCTCCTCCGCACTCGTCCTGACGTGAGTTCAAGAGTCACTGGGGCCAAGGGCAACATCATTGTCCGGCTTGAGGTCGCCAGAATCACGTCTCTCGACATCACGCGAATCATAACACGCAACAGGAACTGAAACGCCGCAGCTCCGTAACCGCCGCAACTGCGGGAGATTACCAGTACATCGTTCGCTGTCGGGAGCGCTGTTCCCGCCCGTGAGAGAAGACGGGGATGGTGGGGTCCTTCATTTTGTAACTTTGGGGCTAATGCTACTCGTCCTCGTCCTTCTCCTCCTCGTCCTTCTCCTCCTCCTGCGCATCCCCCTCTTCCGATGATCCGCGCCGCCCCTTGGCACAGCGGCAAAGAGCCATCTGTCGCTGAAAGATGGGGTCCTGAGGGATGGGGTCCCCAGCACGAGGTGCCTCAAACAACGGAAATCCACCCTTGGATCCCTCTCCTTCCTTAGTTACAGAAGAGAGAGAAACGTTAAAACATAAACTGTTGGTGTTCAGCGCGGAATCCCACCAGCCCTTTGGGCGTGAGTGGTTTAGAGAGCCCGCTCTGTTCTCAACCCCCTTCTTCCCCTTCGGGGAGGGCTTTACCCCTCCCCCTACCCCCTCCCCCTGGGCCTGGAGAGGGCGTCTCGCGGGTCGTTGGAGGGGTCTTTTTCGACTCCTGGGAGGGCTAAAATTCGACACCCCTCACGAGGATTCTGGCCCCGACGGGGGGGGGGGGGAGAAACGTTGGTGTTCAGCGCGGAATTCTTGGATCAGCACTGGACCCTCCCTGGCGCGCGAGCGCGCCAGGGGCGGCGCCAAAGGCGCCGCCAGGGGGCCCCAGCGCCGATCCGAGCGATCCGCGCGGACCTCCGAGTCGTTATTTTCATGTCACTGTTCGTTCCCCTATTACCCCTCGGAACCCCATCCCGTCGGGGACGCGCAAACATGGCTTAGCGATCCATGGATTTGGCGCGCGGTCGCCAAATCCATGGATCGGGGGAGGCGCCCTCCCCCCAAAATGCGGCCGGTGCCGCCCCCTTCGGCGGCGGGAATCCGCGATTCCCCATGGAAACGGGACCCGTCGCTAATCCGCGCCCCCTGCGCCGCTGAGGCAGCTTAGGCAGTTTGGGTGCGCGGCTCTAGTTTGCGCCTGTTGTCAATTCGTAGGCCCGCGCCCCGGACTTACGACTCCCCGCTTGCGCTCTCGCCCGCGGCCGCGACCAAATCATCATCATCATCATCATCATCATCATCATCATCATCATCATCATCATCATCATCATCATCATCATCATCATCATCATCATCATCATCATCATCATCATCATCATCATCATCATCATCATCATCATCATCATCATCATCATCATCAGCATCAGCATCATCATCATCATCATCATCATCATCATCATCATCATCATCATCAGCATCATCATCATCAAATAATCCGCGCCCCCCTCGCTCCATGCTTGTCGCCCGATCTTTGGTCCGCCGACCGCCGTGCTCCCCTCGGGTCGGGCGAAAGGGGGGGATAGCAAAGGGGGGGTTTGAGAATCAGCTCACGTATCTGATTTTCCCGGCGCCTCCCGGCGCCGGGAGCGGCCATGTATCGAGGAATTGGCCCCTCGGTGAGGCCGAAACCAGCTGCATGCAGCAAATTTCGTAACCCCCCCTTTCCCAATCCCCCCCTTTCGCCCGACCCGATCCCCCCCCCCAGCGCCCAGTGCGCCAGCAGCGGCAGGGCCGCGGCCGCGGCGCCGCCCCAGCCGCCGGCGGGCAGGCGGCGGCGCTCCCCGGCGGCGGCGGCGAGCGGCGACCTGTGCTTCGGAGGCAGCACGAGGTCCCCAGGAGGCCCCGGGGAGCCCCCGAGAGGCCCCCAGCATGCCCCAAGAGGGACTCGAGACGCCCCCATTTACACAAACATGCCATTTCCTGCTCGTCGTCCACCTCCTCCTCCTCCTCCTCCTCCTCCTCTTTTTCCTCCTCCTCCTCCTCCTCTCCTCCTCCTCTTCCTCTCTCTCCTCCTCCTCCTCCTCCTCCTCCTCCTCCTCTCCCCTTTTCCTGCTCCTCCTCCTCCTCCTCCTCCTCCTCCTCCTCCTCCTATGGGCAGTGGTCGGGCGCACGCGGACACGGAGGTACGGATGAATGCATCTGGCGGGTGGGTGCTGGTGCTCAAGTCGATGCTCAGGAGGCAGAGCCCGAGACGCGCCGTGAGCACTCCCAGCGGCTGGGCCTCTGGAAGCCCCATCCAGCCCCTGGGCTCCTGAGGGGGCAGAGGAGGAGGAGGAGGAGGAGGAGGAGGAGGAGGAGGAGGAGGAGGAGGAGGAGGGGGAGGAGGGGGAGGAGGAGGAGGAGAAGGTTTGGCCCAGGAGCGCCTGCTTTCGCATTCCAGTCCGTGTGCGATACACTCCTGGCCGAACCTCAGGCGAGGAGGAGGAGGAGGAGGAGGAGGAGGAGGAGGAGGAGGAGGAGGAGGAGGAGGAGGAGGATCGTTTCCCACCCTGTGTGCCGCGACCGCAGAGACGGCCAAGGAGCCCTCTGGGCATCGCAGGGGGCGTGAGCGCGGAGCTCGGGCCGGGCTCCTTCTCGGAGCATTGGCAGCCAGGCAGTCGCTGCAGAGAGGCATCGCAGCTCAAGGGTGGCAGGACACAGTCAAGGAGCTCGCATCTGACTACCTGCCAGACCACCCCAACCCAACCCGAAGACCCGAATTTGACCCGAATTTCGGGTTGGGGGGGGTACGGATCCCATGTGTTTTCTCAACGTTCCCCGACCCCCCCCCACTGGAAATCGAGGATAAATTGAGGCCTTCGGGTTGGGTTGGGGTGGTTTGGTGGGTGGTGAGCATCAGTGGGCCACGAATCAAGTGGGATTGCCTCAAGTGTGGAAGGCACGTGAAGGGACACCGTTGGAGGTGCTCATTCGACCAGAGCTGTGGCTTCGATCAGAGAAGAGAGTGGGGAAAACAACGTGGTCCATTTGCACAGGCACTGCGTCGTGAGCCAAGTCGTCCACGTCGTGATCGAAGCCGCCCACGGGCTCAGACCAATGAGACCAACACAGCCCAACAGGTTATCAAACGAATTATCCCAGCGTCCAGAGCGGATGCGAATTGCCACCATCTATTTATGTAGCCGCCTGGTGACACCAAGGAAATCAAGATCTTCAAGGCTGAGACTCGCGACCGCATGCGCAAGCTTGCTCTGATCAGGATCGCGGCCGAAGGAGTTGACTGAGATTGTTCAGACGTCCAGAATGAGCTTGCAGTTTTGAATCTGATGTACTCAACCACGGAGACATTCACTCGCCAGCTCAACACCTTGACAACCAATCAAGATAAGGCCATGGGGAGGCTCAAATCCATGAAGAACAACGTGGCCGACCTGATACAATAAGAACATATAGTGGATGGTCAGCTTGCCAAGGTCTGAGACAGCATTGCAAAATAGAGGACACTGAAACGCAGCAAGACGATGATATGGACGAGCCAGGTCCGCCCCCAGAGCATCACAATCTGTTCTTGCCAAGGGACACAGGAACTGGACCGATATCGACGAGGTTGTATCCAGCAAGAGCTGTACCACCGCCAGCTCCGCCACCACCAACAAGCTCAGCATCACCGCAGCATGTGGACCCAGGTAATATTCAGCCTGTGCCACCGCCGCCGCCATGTATGACGAAGACAGGCAATGGAATGAACGAGATGACTTGCATCGTGTATGCGATGATGGAGGTTCAAATCAGCAGCAAGTTCGTTTGGAAGAGATGTGCAAGGCGGGTTTTACTATCGGGGGACCTGTCACACCAGTGGCGGTGACCCCTCCGCAACAAGCTTCAGCGACAGGGTCCTCCGAGACTGGCGACTCCATCGCCTTACCCGCCAACGCAGGCCACGCCGATCCGAGGGCATCCGACACCATCGCCTCCGACGCCAGTAGCGCCAACACCAATTGCAAGTACCCGAATAAGGGCTCTACACCATCTACGGCAGCCGGCTCGACAGGCCTCTCAGCCCCATTTGCGCGCATGAAGGTCCACGAGAAGACAGAGGAGGAAGTTGCTCCCACAATCGACTTGGAACTTCTGGCAGCCACCCAACCGAAGACGAGTACACAGGAAGATCCGTACCTCCAGGCCCCCGCCTTCTCCATGACAGAGGTTATCCATGCTCAGACGTCCCAGGAGGAAACCGAGATAGTCAAGAAGGATATCACCGAGGACCCCGAGACCAAGAACCCCTGCGCAAGAAGCACTGGGTGGCCTGAGCCCTCTTTCCATGTCATCTATTTTCCTAGTGCCGCTGTTCTGTTCTTCGGAAGGAGGAAGACCTCGGAGCGCGCCAGCCCGCACGCGCTGATTGCCCGCACGCGAGGGACCAGCAAAAAGTTGGACAGGGTCCGCTCAATAGTTGAGTGTGTGACATCTTGGATTGTAGAATTGTGAATCCGAGGCTCCAGATTGAGCCTAACATCTGGAATTGAAAATCTCGATCCCGCACTCGCGGCATTGAACAAGTGAGAATATATCTGAATCTGGGATTTTTGCCAGGAGGAAACATTGAAAAACATGTCACCATGCATTCTAGGACTTACCAACTTAACAACTTGAAAACAGAAACACAGGCGGTGTTTTTTTTTTTTTTTTGTTTTTTTTTTTTTTTTTTCAATTTTGAGATCTGGGACGTCCAGTGGGGCCTGTGGAATCCTAGGCCTGTGGGGCCTTTTGGGCCAGTGGGACTCGTGAGGCCTCCTGGGGACTGTGGGAACTCTAAGGCCTGTGAGGCCTCCGAGGCCGGAGCGACCTCTGGGGCCCGTGGAGCCTCTGGGGCCCGCGGAGCCTGCGGTGTCTCATGGGCCCTGGGCCCAGGACGCTCAAGCCTTCGGGAAAGCAGTGACACCAAAAACCCTCTCAGAAACCTCGCAGGGCCCCTCCTGCTCCTGGTCCTCCTCCTCCTCCTCCTCCTCCTCCTCCTCCTCCTTGTCCGCTCGACCCGCCTGGCCTGACCAAACGACATGCGGCCCCCCACACTTTAATATGTTGTCCGCCCGACCCGCCAGGCACCGGCACGCCCGAACCGAACTCGATAAAGGTCTGCTCTAACATGTCCCGGCCGCCTGACCTCCCCACTCCCCCCGGTTCGTTCTGCCCCCCTTGACCAAACTCGACGGGGCCCTTCCTTCCGCCCACCCTACCCGACCTGCCGCTCACCCCGCGCCGCCCGACCAAACGAGATAAGAGCCCGCACTTTCAAGTCCCGCAGGGCCCGCCCGCTTGCCTGACTCGCGTCGCTCGACCGTACACCCTGCGAAATGCTTAAGAAATCATGGGTTAAGAAACTCAGAGTCTCAGAATTTGAATAAAAACCCAGAACTTCTATCGAAATCTTGGGATTCACATTGAAACATTAAGAATAATCGAGCCTCTGGCCAAAAACTTAGGTTTTCTTAACCATCGCCTGAGGTGTACGCGACACAATCCCACACCTTCATATCCTGCCAGCTCACCCGCCCTCCCCGCGTGCCCCGCCCGCCTCACGCGGCAAGCCCCATCGCGTCCTGCACTTCAATGTCCCGCCCGCGCGACCACTCGATGGAGCCCTACACTTTAATGTCCCGCCCGCCCGACCCGCCCGTTGGCCCACTTCGCACGACCACACTCGATAGAGTGCTAGACATAGACATCTCGCCCGCCCGGCCCGCCCCGCCCGTTGGCCCCGCCTCGCCAGACCACACTCGACATAGCCCTACCCTCACATGTCCCGCACTCCCGGCCCACCCCGCCCGCTGGTCCCGCTCCGCCGACCACACTTGATAGAGCCCAGCATGCGACTGTCCCGCCCGCCCGGCCCGCCCCGTCCTTTGGCACCGCTCCGCCAACCACTCTCGACAGAACTCCACACTTTCGTGCCCGGCCCGCCCGGCCCGCTCCGGCCGTTGGCCTCGCTCCGCCCACCACCCTCGATAGAGATCCACACGCTCCTGCCCCTCCCGCCCGCACTTTCATGACTGTTCCGCTCGCCCGCCCCGCCCCGCCCTTCGCTCCGCCCCGCCCGACCAGACTTGATAGAGCACTACACGTTCATGACTTAGGTCGGGTTTCAAAGATAAACACAACTAGTCAAAACGTTTAAACAAAAAACTAATCGAACAGTCGTCCCCCGCCTATTTGTTTAAAATATGTTTGAACAATCCTCCTGTAGAGTGACATGCCTGACTTAATTCATGTCCCGTTCGTCCGCCCCGCCCGCCTGACCCGGCCAACCTGGTAGGCCTCACCTGCCTGACTCGGCCACCAGGGTCGCGGGAGACACGAAAACGAGAGCGGGGAGGCAAAGGAGGAACGCAAGAAACAACTAAGGCATGAAATGCGAATACGCTGGGACTGAAGTACTGATCATTGAACTTGGTAACTCGGAAATTTCTGGATTGAAATTTTCCCCTATGGGATTTAACTTCCAAATGATTCAATCCGTGACCCAAGGGTTAAAACGTCAAAACGTTTCATTGTTCAATGTTCCATCAGCAACTTTGGAATTCAGAGTGTCAAATTTTAATGTTTCAATACCACGACTGCGCAATCGGAAATGATAGTTTCAAATGCTCAATGCTTTCAATGTTCAACCCCGCGCCGTGGACCCAAATCATTTCACCAAGAGCAGAGGCACCACCGAGGGTCCTTCTCCTCGTGTTCCCCCCTTCCTTTCTCATCGTCATCCTCTCCGTCTCCCTCTGCCCCCTTCCCCTTCTCTCCTCCCGCCTTCTCCTGCCTCTCCTCCTCTCCTTCCTGTGTCCCGTTTCTCCTAATAGACCATCCCGGACCCCCCCTCGTAGGGAGCCCACAAAGGACGTACGCGCCCAGCTATGTACATGAACACGGCCCCTCGATCCGCGAGACCGGCCGCGTAATACGAACATTTGCGCAATGCGTACTCTCGAAACCAGCATGGATTCATGTACATGTACGTCCTTCTTTCGCTCCTGACCTCGGGGGAGGGCGGAGATGTGGCAAGGGAGGCGGCGGGGAAGGAAGGACGGGTGGGGCGCGCGGTGGATGGAGGGTGGGGAACTGACGGGCGGACGCCAGGACGGAAGAGTTGGTTGACGGACTGACGCGGAAGGGTGGAAAATGGCGGACGCACGGGAGATGTGTGAGGGAGAGGTGAAGAAGGGAATGGCGCGGGGGGGCGAGGGAAGAGGGAAAGGGCGGGGAAGGGGGAAAAGAGGCGCGATGAGAGGGGTGGGGACGGGGAAGGGCTGTTCAAGACAGCGTGCACGCTCGTGCCCTCGTCGCTCCCGCCCATCCCTCTCCCCTGCCTCCTCCTCCCTCCTCCTCCTCCCTCCTCCTCCTCCTCCTCCTCCTCCTCCTCCTCCTCCCCCTCCTCCTCCTCCTCCTCCTCCTCCTCCTCCTCCTCCTCCTCCTCCTCCTCCTCCTCCTCCTCCTCCGCCGCATCCCCCTCCTCTCCTCCCATCGGGTCAGCGCAAGCCCGGCCCCTCGAGGGCCCTGTCGCGCAGCCTGGCTCGGCCTAATAACTTCCAAGACTGGGTTAGCACAGGGCGGAAAGCGGGAATTGGCCCCACTGAGCATGGGGGGAACGGGTCCTGATAGGGGGCCACATGCGAACCCTACCCCTACCCCCCACGATTTCTGAGGATGGTGGAATTCACTTCGCTCGGGAGCTCCCGAACGGAGTGAACCCCACCCTCCCCCTCAGAAGTCGTGGGGGGTAGGGGTAGGGTTCGCATGTGGCCCCCTACCTGAGGGAACCAGGTCCTGAACCCTGGGGCCTTCCCCCAGGACGAGATCGTCATCCCGAGTCGTTTTCTGACGGTCCCAGGGCTCGTGGAGGGCCCCGAGAGCCCGAAACTGACGACAAACCTCTGGCGAGGAAAACGGAAATCGGTCCCACATTGCCTCCAAACCCTGGTCAGCTGGAAGGAGTTGGTTAAGTGACCCCCATTCGCGCTGACCCCCGTTACGTAAGCCCCTCCTGTAGAGGAAGAAGAAGAAGCGCTGTAGGCATGAACTTTTGGAGGTCTGCGCTGATTTCTTGGATCGGCGCTGGACCCCACTCCTAGGGCGGCGCCAGGGGGGGGGGGCCCAGCGCAGATTCAGGGAGTCTGCGCGGAACTCCGACAAGCTGTGTTTCTGCACGTGACCTCCTTCGGACCCGGCGGCCATTCCACTGATCGGAGCTGCTAGCGCTGACCCCCGTGTCACAAGAACCCCAATCTTCGGGGATCTTCTGACCCGGGTCAATCCAGACCCGGGTCAGCGGGAAACCAAAAACTGCAATGCAGGAAAAAAAAGCTGCAACGCAGGTCTTCGCAAACCCGGGTCAGCCAATATGTGCGGCCGCCTCGCGGCCACGAGCGGCTCCCTGACCCGGGTCAGCCAGAAGGGGTCTTCGCAGGATCCTGCAGGACCTGGCGCTCTGGCTGACCCCCGTTTGCACTGACCCCCGTCTCGAGGCTCCCGAAATCTCACCCGCCTGCTTCGCCCCCGGGGTCCTGCCGGCAAATAAACCTGCAGCCCGGGCGGTCGGGGCCGCTGCGACCGCGGCCGCAGCGGCCCCAGCGGTTCGGCGAGAAGGGGTGGGCCTGGGCCGTCGTGGCGCTCCGCGCACGGGTGGGACTAAAGGGAAAGTAGGACACACAAATAAATACACACAAATAAAAATATCCCCCATATTTTCCCATATTTTCTGGGTTTCTGCCTTCCCCCCCACTTCCCATATTTTCCCATATTTTCTTGGGAATCGACGATTGATTGTGTCTGTGTGTTTCTTCCCCTCCTGAGGGACGTCGTCCTCGGGCCGAAGGCCAAATCTGGGCGACCCAGGCCGCGCACGGAAGGGCAGCGACAGGTGGGGCCTGGCCGATGAGGGAAACGTCGCCCTTGAATCGGCGATACGTCGCCGAAAGATCGGCGACAAGCCCTCGATGGCGAATCTGCACGTTCCTGGGCGGAGCGGGATGTCGGGCCCCCATCGGCGATGAATGCGCGATTGGGGGTCGATGCGTTCCCTCATCAGCATATCCCCACTAACGTTGCCCCTGAGCTCAGATGCGCAGGGAGAGCGGGTCGCCACAATGCGAGTACGTGTTCACGCCGTTCTGCCCGCGCGCGTCAGCTCCGTGCAGCTACGCGCTGACGCGCATCCAGTGCGCCGCGCGGTTGCCGAAACTCTCCTCATAGGGCCAGGCCGCGTGGGCCTTGCAGCCTGGACTCTGGGGCGCGCGAGCGCCCCGGCGGCCTTGCGAGGGCGCACAGCTCGCAGATGTCGACGTCGCAACGAGAGAAGCGCACCCATCGGCATTGGCCAGCGCGCAACGCCAGGCAGGAGGGCACTCTCCCACTTGCTCAACGCCTGCGACCGCAATAATGGGCTCCGACATCGAGCTGGTGCGCGGCGTTATTGGGGTCGTAGTCGCCCAGCGCCAGGCAGAGCGGCTGTCTTTTGTCAGCGGGGTCTTCCTGCTTGCGGGCTCTTTTGTCATTATTCGCCCACGTTGGCCCAGTCAGCCAAGTTTGGTAAGTGCCGAGCGCAGCTGTCAGCCAGGGTCGCGCACAGAGGGCTGCTCGCTGCCGCACCGCCGATCTCGAACTGCGGCGCCAGCGCCTCTCGCAGTCGCCAGGGGCCCTGCCCGTATGCGGGCATGGGCCGCGGGTGTGAGCTGCGCGGCGCTGCCCAAGCGCGCTTGAACCGCCCTGCTGCCCGCTGCGGCCTGACTGGTGCCCAGGGGCCTCGACGCCGGAGGCGGCGAAGCGCTGGCCATCGCTCGGACGTCCATTCCCTGTGGGTTCTTCGGTTTCGCGCGTGGTTTGCTCGCCAAGCGATCAAGGATGCTCCTCGATGGCCCTCGCCGAAGGAAAAATGCACACGTCCGAGCGATGCCAAGAGCGGGTGCACCGCTGCGAGTGCGGCGGGTGGCGCACCGTGGAGGCGCCAGGGAAGCACGGCCACAGTCACGACGGCGGCCGTGCTCCGGGCCGCCCACCGGCGCGCGGAGGCCCGCGGCCCGCCGCGCGTCGGAGGCCGCCGTCGGCCGCGCGGCGGGCGCGGGGCCCGAGGCGCGCCGTCGCCGTCTGCTGGGCAGGATTGCGAGGCCGTCCTGCGCCCGCGCCCCCCCCCGCGCGGGGGTCGCGCACGGCGCCCACGCGCCAGCCTCGGGGCGCGCCGCTGGGAGTGGCGGGTGTCCGCCGTCGCCGCGCGTCCGCCTCGGTGGGCGGGGCTCCGCAGTCGGCGCGCGCGCGTCTCATCGAGCTCTGCCATGTCTACGGCGGAACTCCGGCTTCCCCTCCTCCTCTCCTTCCCCCTTCCTCCCTCCTCCTCCTCCTCCTGCTCCTCCTGCTCCTCCTGCTCCTCCTCCTCCTCCTCCTCTCCTCCTCCTCCTCCTCCTCCTCCTCCTCCTCCTCCTCCTCCTCCTCCCCTCCTCCTCCCCCTCCTCCTCCGTCCTCCGCTCTCCTCGCCCTCCTCCCCCTCCTCCTCCGTCCTCCGTTCCCCTCGCCCTCGCCCTCGTCCTCGTGCTCGCCCTCCACCCTGCGCCCTCCTCCTCGTCCTCCTCGCCCCCCTCGTCCCCCAACGCCTCCATCCCTCCCCCCCCCCGCTCCCCATCCCTGCGCCCGCCCTCCTCTGCCCGGCCGGCCTCGCGAGGCGCCTCCCCGCGCGAGCGGGGCGCCCGGGCGCCATGAGGGCGCGCAGTGGCCGCGAGGGCGGCGGCCGGCCGAGCCCGCGCTCTGGGACCTTCGCCTCCGCGCCCGCGCCCTGCGCCCCAGATCTCCGACGACATCCTTGAGTCGGGCATGTCCCTCTGCAGGTGGATCGTGGACGAAATTTTTAAAACACACACACCAACAAAGCACTAAACATATGCAAACATGGTTACAACAAAAAGCGTCCCCAGACTATGTTTGACTGTTTTTGAATACTCCCCCTGTAGAGGGACAGGCCCGAATTTATGATATCCTTGAATCGGACATGTTCCTCTACAAGAAGAATATTCAAAAATAGCGAAACAAATCTGGGGACGATGTTTCGACCAGGTTTGAATATGTTTGAATATGTCTTGACTAGAGGCCTCTTAGATGGGGTCGGAGTAGATGGGGTCGGGGGATCGCGCCGCATCGCGGATACATCGGCGATGCATCGGCGATGCATCGTTGATGCACTGGATATGCATCGTCGACGTGGGCGATGCACCGGCGCCGTCGACGTGAAGAAAATCGGGCTCCACATCGAGCCGCATCGCCGATGCATCGGCGAAGCGGCGCGATCCTCCGACCCCGTCTACTCGGACCCCGTCTGGGAAGCCTAGATTGACTGTGCTTTGTTTCTCCTCGAGAATCTGCCTGTAGGGGGGGGCATGCCCGACCCAACGATATCCTTACGTCGGGCCTGTCCCCATACAGGGGGATCGTGGGCGAAAAATCAAAAATGCCCAAACATACCCCAAAAAATGCAAAAAAATACACCCAAAATAGTCCACATACTATTTTTGAATATTCCCCTTGTAGAGGGACAGGCCCGACCCAACGATATCCGCCACCGTGCCCGCGCGGACCCCGGCGAGACCCACTGTGCGGGCCGAGCTTCGATGCGGGTTCCTCGCTTCCGGGGGGGCGTGCCGCGTGACGCTGCACGGCCGGAGGCCGAAGCACGCCGGCGGCACCAGGAGGAAGGGAGCTCGTACAGTCAACCCGTATACTGGATGCAAGGGCCTTGGGATGGGATGCAAGGGCCTTGGGATGGGATGCGAGACCCTTATCTGCGGACGCACGATAAAGATGCAAGGGCCTTGGGAGGCCATGTCGCCACTTTTCGGGCCGGGCGAAAGGGGGTGATAGCAAAGGGGGGGTTTGAGAATCAGCTCACGTAGCTGATTTTCTCAGCGCCTCCTGGCGCCGGGAGGCGCCCATTTATCGAGGAATGGGCCCGGCGGCGGGGTCGAAACCAGCTGCATGCAGCAGATTTCGTACCCCCCCCTTTCCCAACCCCCCCCTTTCGTCCGGCCCGAACTTTGCGGGATGCAAGGGTCCACCTCGGAGAGTTGCTCATCCTTATTGTGCGGGTTGACTGTAGCCCGCGTGCGTGTGACGCCCTTGTCGCTGTGACTTCTGCAGGACGCATGGGGTGCGGTGACACGGGGGACACCTGCACCTCCAACGAAGATACTGCTCGTCGTTTTAGTGTGTTCTGGGGCCTCTAGGGCCGACCTCCCCCCGTCGTCGCACGCGTGCCTCTGAGATTCCCCCCCTGTGTTGGCGTTCTGGCGTTTTGTTTCACCTCGAGACGGCGAAGGTGGCTCTCAAGACGGCTTCCAAGAGAACCAAGGTGACACCACGACGGACCACGATGGTAACCCAAGACGACATGAGAGGCTCCCGGACAGCCTCAAGACGGCTTGAAAGACTTCCCAGACGGCCCAATAGGGCCTCAATGGGGCCCTCCAGGAACGCCTGAAGAGGCCACATGCACTGATTGATTTCCGTGGGTGCCATAAAGGTTTGAGGTTCTCGCCTGTTTGGGTTTCCGACCGCCAAATGTGGCCCCAGAGGCCCCAAACAAATCCCCAAGACAACCAACGAGGACCCCAAGAAAGGCCCCCCTACGACAACCCCGAAGGCCCCAAGAGGCCCCCAAGATGCCCAGAGGAGGCTCCCAGGCGGCCCCAAGAGAGGCCTTTTCCTCCTCGTCTTCATTTGCTCTCCCCTGCTCTCCATGTTCCTCCTCGTCCTCCTCCTCGTCCACCTCCTCGTCCTCGTCCTCGTCCTCCTCCTCCTCCTCCTCCTCCTCCTCCTCCTCCTCCTCCTCCCTACCGCGCGGATGCAAATGATCTCGATTTCGCGACTCGCCTGAATTCAGGTCGCTCGCTGAACTACAACGGGAAATTAATTAGACCTCCCCCATACTGCCCTACCGCGCGGACGATGACGAGGACGATTGAAGGAGCCGTCCCAATTCAGGCCAGTCGTCAAAATTGCTCTGTTCCTGCACTCGATCGCTGCGCTGTTGGGGCTTGCCGCAGGCAGCTGGATATTTTGCCAAACTGGATTTTTTTTTGCGCCCGGTATGCGTTCAATCGTACGAACCCTACCTGGCGCACACATTCAGATCCACTGCCAGATGATCTGCTCCACAGAGACTGTGTGGTTGAACGCTGCTTCACAATATTGGGTGATGTGGCGATCATCCCATGTCTCGGTAAGACAAGAAAAATAGCCACAGCCAGAATAGAAGCGAGCTGCCACTACTACAAATATTGGAATGAGCGAGCCTCCAACGACTGGCATTAACGTGTAGCCAGCAAGGCCTGTTCCTGGAATGCCCAACCTTCGAACAAATCCTCGTTGCCACTCATACATGGAGAACACGTGTAAATTTTGTGCCCACCATGACATGCCATATGGAAGCTCATTGATCATATTCTTCAAGACTTCGTCTTGGTCCTGCTGCGATAATTCCCGAACTAGGTGTTCTTCAAGATCGTCCACCCCAGGCGATACGGTTCCGTAAACTGAATACAGTACCGCGCCAAGTGTGTAGAGCACGACAAAAGTTGGGACCACTACCCATGCAAACGCAATGGCTCCGATGGCTGACCAGGCAATGAGGAAGGCACTGATGGGAAGGTAAATGTACATCAAACTTTTTTGGTAGATGACAAAAAGCCCGCCCTGAGCCTGAATCATAATCTCCACCGCGTCTTTTTCAGCTCTGGATTCCGAGTGCCACTGGACCCACACTGCGTAGGTTCTGTAGATGATGTCCATTCCCCAAGCAGAGATCGCTGCAGGAATGTTTGGGCTCGTGCCGAGTGCTATCATCAACAGGTTCCAGCGGACCCAAACCGACAAGTCCGATGACGCAACAATGCCTTTGATTCGGCGTGCATCTCGGACGATGGTCAGTACCATCAGAGACATCAACCCAAACCGAAATAAGACCATCGCATCGCGTAGCAACCCTGCCTTCAGTGTGAACTCCTGGTGCAATTTGGGCCTAGGGGGGCCAAAGATGATCAGATTGACGATTGGTTTTGTTATGGTTGAAACAATCAGCCCATAGTAAGGCATCATGACGTTCAAGCCTGCAGCTTCGCGGAAACCGTCAGTGCACACCTGGCTAGCAGAGGGGCCTGCCAACTCAATCGCACGGACCTGCGGGCTCATCCGCGCCACGCGCGATTGGTTGCCCAAGTGCTGCGAGAGATGTTTTGTGAAGCCATCCAGAGCACCAACGACCACCACACTGCAAGAAGCGATTAGTCCTGCTACGGCGCACACCGCCGAAATCAGGTAGGAACGTCTAGCCCGGGCCGCTGCTATGTTCAGATACATGCTGCGTGTTTGCCAGTTGCTGCTGCCAAGATCGCTCGCACCATCCTTGAGCCAAAATGGCTTGAACCAAAATGACTACGGATTTTGTCAAACTGGATTTTGGTCGCCGTTAGGCCTCGGGACGACCAATATGTCAATCTGGGCGCAAGACGCAAAATTGCGCCCAGGGAAAAAAGGGTCGGGGCCTCCTGGGAACGCAGACTGGCACACGCATGTCGAAGGATGCGTGGCCCCGCCGCCTGCGGTAGGGCCCCAGTGCGAAGAGCAGACAGGCTGTCAAGGTCCTTTGGGCGTTTCTTGACTGCTCTTTGGGGACCTCGGGCGGTCCACTGTGGCCGCGGGTGAATTCCTGCCGGCTCTCCGCTGATGGCCACGAGGCGCCCCAAGAGGTGCCACCCGTACCGCCACGCCGCGCGAAGTCTACAATCGTGCCCGCCTCGGCGGTCGCATTTTGGAAGCGTCCCAGGGGGAAACCTGACCGGAACTCGCCCCACGACATCTCTGGAAAGGGTTTCCTTTTAAATCCTAAGGAGCACTGGACCCCCGCGCCCCGCCTCGCTCCCCTCTCGCCCCTCTTCCGCCCTGTCGCCTTCCAATCCCCCTTTCTATTCCATCCCTCCTCCTCCTCCTCCTCCTCCTCCTCCTCCTCCTCCGCACGTCCCCCCCGTTTCCGTCCCCGTCCCGCCTCTGCTTGCGCGCCATCTCTGCTGCTCTCCCCGTCCCGTCCCTCTCCCCTCCCCTCCCCCGCCTCCCTCCCCCGTGCCAGGCACGAGGAGACAGAAAGCGGAGCGGATCACGTGCAAGTGCACGGCTCAGAAAAGGATTGCCCAGGACGCCAACTTTGGTTTAACACAAGCACTTTCGCCAACCCCGTGGCCCCACGATAACGGGACAAGGAATTCGGCCCTCGGAGGGCTGACAATTCGGGTGGGCCTCCAGGCCGTCTGAGAGGCCAAGGGAGGCCCGAGGGCTTACAAGTCGGAACGGCGGGAATGGCTCTTCGGAGTGGTCGAAGACACCCCCTGCGCCCTGGCGCGGGCGTCTTGCAGTCCAGGGGGGGCGAAGACCGACGGGAAGTGACGACAACGAATGCGACGGCGGACTGTGGATGGCATAGGGGGGGAGTGGGGGGTAGGGCGGGGGCTGCGCGCTGCGCGGGCGTTCTGCAGTCCTGGGGCGACGACGAGCCACGAAGACGCAGGCGGCCCATCGTGGATCGCATTGGAGTGGGGAAGAGTATTGCGTAGGCGGCTTGATCTGGTCGACGACGATGACGACGACGACGACGGCGGCGGCGACAGCGACGACGACGGGGGCGGCCCTTTGCGGATGACATGCTGGGGGGGTGGAGGGGAGGAGGGGGGGCTGCGTAGGCGTCCTGCAGTCCTGGGGGACGACGATGGCGGACGGCCAACGACGACGACGACGACGCGTACTGCGACGACGACGACGACGACGACGCCGGCGACGACGGGATGACAACCAACGGGATGACGACGGCCAACGCGACGCCCAACAACTCTGGCGGGCAGGGACGATTCAAATCAACTTCGCCCCCCCCCCGTGGTTTTACTCGTCTGCCCTGCACAACAGGAAGGCGACCCCCCGGGGAGGCTATTTTTGGAAGCGCCTACCGCCATTAGCATGGCGAGCCGGAGTAGTGCCGCTCCCCTGCGCAGCCTGCATGGCGACCCAGACACACCAACGATCGAGTGCCACGCCCTCGCTTGCTCGCTCCCCATCTCCTTCTCCCCTCTCCCTCGCTCTCCCAGGCGAGGCATCGATCAGGCGGGCGGTGGGGCATGCCCACTCTGGCTCTCAGTCTGCGGCGGACGGCGGCCTGACGCCCCCAGGCGCCGACGCGATCGCGACCAGGACCCTCCCTGCCCCGTTAGAACAAGAACGACACGGAGGTACACTACTGCCGGAGGTCCGCGCGGCTGTCCTGGGTCGCTTGACCCCCCCCCCGCGCACCCCCTTCTCTCTAACACTATTCTATGTGGTGGATTTGGAAAATTTATGCTTTTTAGTTTAGAATCTTTGAGCGTTCGCCAGGGGCGGGCACCCCAGGGGAGCCCGGGCAAGGTGGGCAGGACACATGGAGCAGGAAGGTGCTGGAAATAGTCGGGGATGGACAGACCCCCCTTTAGTAGAACGTGGTTTAGTGAAAACGACCTGAGGCCCAAACCTGGTGGGCGCAAGCCTGGAAAATAACAGCCAAGGCGCCCTCTCGAGAACCGAAAACGGACAATTCACTAATCGACGTGTCACTGTTGGGGGTTCTGTCCACCCCCGAAATAGATTGGCTTCCCGCCCGCCCTGGATTTTCCTGGGGATCGACGATTAATTGTGTCTGTGTGTTTTTTCCCCTCCTGAAAAGTGGGCAGGACACATGGAGCAGGAAGGTGCTGGAAATAGATTGGCTTCCCGCCCGCCCTGGAGAGAGGGGAGAGAAGGGGGACACCCGCTCGACTCCTGCAATGCTAAGGGAGCCTCGCGCTGATCGGCACCTGGGACTCCCAAGACCAGACCTCGGTGTTTGGGGGGGGGGGCAACAACGAAATCACATGTAGATTTTCGTAAGCATTCTGCGATGTGGAAGCCGTTTCTAGCCAGGTCCAGCATCAGCAAGTAGGCGTGCATGTTGCCGTTCAGCAAGACGTGCATCCTTTCTGACTGCCTACCAGACCACCCCAACCCAACCCGAAGACCCGGATTTCGGGTTGGGGGGGTAGGGGTTCCACATGTGTTTTTCGATGTTTCCCGACCCCCCCCCCACTGGAATTCGAGGGTAAATCTGAGCCTTCGGGTTGGGTTGGGGTGGTTTGGTGGGTGGTGACTTTCAGCGACAGATGGGTACAGTGCTGAAGCCTTTTCCAGCGCGGCAGGCCCTCGAACGTGGTCCAGGATGGACGAAAAGGGCACGGATGCACGGGTACCCGTGAGAAGATTACCTCTCCTTACCATCGGCTTCGACCGTGCTGGTCCAACTCTCGGGGTGGGGGCCGCAGAGACGCCCGCGGAGGGCTCCGCAGCTGCGAGTTGTGAAGGGGCCCTGGGACACACAAATCCGCCGACCCTGTCGGCGTGTGGAAGACGCATCCTGGTGTCGTCGTCTTGCGTGGATCACCGTCGTCGTCGTCGTCGTCGTCGTCGTCGTCGTCGTCGTCGTCGTCTCCGTCGTGTCCTCGTCGTCTCCGTCTCCGTTGTCCCTCGTCGTCTTCGTCGTTCCCCGTCTCCTTGAGCGCGCGAGCCAAAGCGACATTGAGCAACGTCGTAGTTGAGTCGTGGCGAAGCCCCTCCCTACCCTCCCCGCCGGGGGGGGTGGGGGTGGGGGGGGGGGTCGCCGGGGGGGTCGCCACCCAGATACGCATCCTCCCCGGGGGGTCCCGGAGCTCAGAAAAGCTTCAAGACGAGCCAAGAGCGACAGAAGACACCCCCAAAAGGGTACAAGAGGGCCTCGACTCGACGAACGATGGCCCCAAGACGCCCAAGACGGCCCGAAGACGGCCCAAGAGGCCCTCAAGACGCTCCAAGAGAGCCCCAAGAGCACACCCAAGAGGGCCCCAGGCGCCAAAATCGTCAATTTTACATTGGTTTTTGAATGATTTTGGCCTTCTCGCCTTTTCGGCTTTCCGACACTCCAAGACGGCCCAAGAGGCCCCCTAGAGGCCCCCAAGAACGCCCCAAGAGGCCTACAAGAGGGCCCCAAGACGGCCCAAGAAGGCCCCAGGACAGCCTAAGAGGCGCCCAAGACGGCCCAATAGGGCCCCAAGACGGGCCCAAGAAACAGCCAAGAGGGGGACGAGGAACCGAGAATTCGAGACTTCCGCCCTAAGAGGCCCCCGGGAAGCCCCAAGAGGCCCCCAAAAGGCCCCAAGAGGCCCCCGAGCGGCGCCAAGACGCCCCCAAGATGCGCCGAAGACGGCCTCCGGAAGCCCCAAGAGGCCCAAAAGAGGCCCCAAGAGGCCCCACAACGGCCCCCAAGAGGCTTCAAGTTGCCTTCCAGACGCCCCCGAGAGGTCAACCACGAGATCCCAACCAACATCCATAAGGCCTCCTCCTCCTCCCCCTTCACCCTTCCTCCTCCTACTCCCTTCCGCCTCCTCCTCCTCCTCCTCCTCCTCCTCCTCCTCCTCCTGCCCCCCCCCTCGTGTTGTCTTTCGTCATCTTCAGGGGGGGCGGCAACGGCCGTAAGGCCTTCGCAATTCGCCGGCCCAACGGGCCAGAGGCGTGCTAAGATCTCCGGTAACTGGTTAACAATTTTCTAGTTCGCGCGCGCGGGGCGGCCCCTGGGGGTCCCCGGACGAAAAGTACCCCGACCAGGTCCCGGCCGGTCCCCGGCCGGTCCCCGGCCGGGTCCCGGCCGGGTCCCGGCCGGGTCCCGGCCGGGTCCCGGCCGGGTCCCCCCGAGCGCTCCATGAGCGCACCAACAGGGCTCCGAGACGTCCCCGAGAGCCCCAAGAAAGGCCAAGAGGCCCCCAAGAGGCCCCCAAGATGGTACACGAGGGGTCCGACATGCCACAAGATCGCTCCAAGACGCCCAAGATAGCCCCCAGACGCCCCAAGAGGCCTCCAAGAGCACTCCCAATAGGGCCCCCGGAGGCAAAAATCATTGTTTTTCCATAGGTTTTTGAGAGATTTTGGAGCTTCCACCTTTTCGGCTTCCCGACGCCCCAAGACGGCCCAAGAGGCCCCCAAGATCGCCCCAAGAGGGCCCAAGAGGCACCCAAGAGGGCCCCAAGATGGCCCAAGAGGGCTCGAAGACGGCCCAAGAAGCCTCCAAAACGGTCCAAGAGGGCCCCAAGAACGCCCCCAAAGGGGCCCCAGAGAGGGAACACGAAACAACATTTCGAGCCCTCGGCCCTAAGAAGCCCCTACGAGGCCCCTAAGAGGCCCCAAGAGGCCCCCACGGGGCCCTCAGGAGGCCCCCAAGAGTCCCCCAAGCGGCCCCAGGAGGCCCCCCAAATGCCCCCCCGAGCGCCCCAGGAGTCCCCCAAGCGGCCCCAGGAACCCCCAAAGCGCCGCATTGACACCAGGCCCTCGGGCAAACGGCAGACATGAGACTGTATGGGCCGGCGGAATGAGCGAAGCGATTAAATAAATACACACAAATAAAACAAATCCCCATATTTTCCCATATTTTCTGGGTTTTTGTCTTCCCCCCCACTTCCCATATTTTCCGATATTTTCTGGGGAATCGACGATTCATTGTGTCTGTGTGTTCCTTTCCCTCCTGAAGTTGGCACGAGCGAAGCGACCGACCTCCCACTGGGGAGCCCCTCCTGGTCCCAACAGGTGGGCGGCGGGGGGTGGGGCTGCAGTCGAAACCGACAATAATAAAGGGGCCCCAGGACACACAAATAAATGCACACAAATAAAAATAGTCCCCATATTTTCCTATATTTTTTGGGGTTTCTGTCTTCCCCCCCACTTCCTATATTTTCCCATATTTTCTGGGAATCGACGATTAATTGTGTCTGTGTGTTTTTTCCCCTCCTGAGGGAAGGCTGCAAGGGCCTTGGACGCCCGTGTTGAAGCATCTCGAGCGGGGCTGGCCATCGAGAGTTGTGAAGGACGAGCCGAGGAGGCAAGGATGCAGGGAAGGGTGCTCTTGGGAGGGTTACCAACCCTTCGGCCCAGCGCCCATCCGAGAAGCCCGCGCGGGCAAGCGCCCAGCGGCTCGGGGGTACACCACGCGAAATGGTTAAGAAATCATGGGTTAAGAAATTCATGGTCTCAGAACTTGAATAAAAACCCAACATTTCTATCAAAATCTTAGGATTTACATTGAAACGTTAAGAATATTCGAGACTCTGGCCGAAAACTTAGGTTTTCTTAAGCATCGCCTGAGGTGTAGGGGCAGAGGTGGGGCTAGAGAACAGCCGCTCCAAGCGGCCACAGGTAGAAGGACATGTGCGCATCCAACTGAGCTCCTTCTTGGCGGCGTGCAGAGGGGGGTAGGGGTAGAGGGGAGGCTTCTTAGAAGGAGGCTGCTTCGCAGCAGGCGCGGGCCTTCTATCTACGGACACGGCCCGCGCCTTCTACGAAGCAGGGTGCTTCTAAGAAGCCTTCCCCCCCCCCTACTCCCCTCTTCGCGCGGCCGACCTTCCCTGACCCCATCTCCGAACACCCCCCTCTACAGTCAACGCCGATGGTAAGGATGCGCAGTGCGGATGCAAGCCCCCTGGGCGCCCGTGCTGCAGCTTTTCCGAGCGCGGCGGGCCCTCGAAAGGGGTCAGGTATGGACCGAGGAGGCAAGGATGGACCGAGGAGGCAAGGGTGCAAGCATGCCAGTTTTCCCGCCCCTACCATGGCTTTGGACTGTACGAACCTCCGATTGCTGTCGGCGCCCATCTGCAGGCCTCCGAGAACGGCCCACTCTCGCCAGCGCGGCGCGGGCCGGAGCCTTGCTGCCCCGCACCGCCCCCGAGTTGAGCACCGCGGCGTCCGCCTGCAGCACGTCCCTCGGGGCCGGGGCGGCAGGCCGGGGCGCGGCTTCGGCCTTCGCCTCCGCCGCTGCCGCCGCCGCTCCCGCCGCCGCCGCTGCCGCCGCCGCCGCCGACGCAGCCGCCGCCTCCGCCGCCCACTGCCGCCGTCTCCGCCGCCGTCTCCGCCGCCGCCGCCGCCGCCGTCGAATGCGCAGTCGCCGCCGCCGTCTCGTCGCCGCCGTTTTCCGCGTCGTCGCCGCCGTCGGGGCGCCTTTCGGGCCCGGGGCGGGAGCGGCCGTGGCTCCGCTCCCCCCCTTGCGCCCTCTGGAGGAGGAGGAGGAGGAGGAGGAGGAGGAGGAGGAGGAGGAGGAGGAGGAGGAGGAGGAGGAGGAGGAGGAGGAGGAGGAGGAGGAGGAGGAGGACCTCCGAAGGCCTCCAGAGAGCTCCGACAGCTTCTGGGGGGCCCCCCTCCGACAATTCCCGTGGGCCTCCTGCCCTCGCCGCCCCCCCCTTGAGACGCTGCCATGGCGACGGCAGCCGTGCCCGCCGAGGCGTGGCAAAAGACCCGGGGCGGGTTCGACCACGGGGGCTCGTGTGAGCGATCCTTTCTCCGCTCGATGTCCCCTTTGCCTTCCTCCTCCGCGGACAGGGCGGAGTGATATGTGTGATCGAGGCGTCTCACGTCCAGCAGAATGCACAAATCCGCATCAGACGATACAGCCAGCAAAAAGGTACACGGGGGAACGAACAACAACTATAGGCGGAAGAACCCGCTGGGCTAATGCTAAGGACGGCGTGCGGTGAGGAGGGGAAAAAGGAACCCACACATCAACATGATGAAACAACTAATGCACAATATGTCGCTTGATCTTCCTTCTCCTGAACATGTTCTTTGGAGTGCTAAGGTTGGGAACGATGTGGGCGCTCGTGCCTGTAAAACCCATCCGCCTACTGTTCAGAAGCCGCATGTGATGCATCGGCATGCGTACGCACATCGTCGGGCTTCCACGACTACGCCATTTCGGAACTTCCTGGTAGGGGCCAGGATTCAAGTGTTTCCGTGGTCTCATGGGCACCCTCCACGGTCTGGGACAGGGCTGAACCTAAACAGTGTTTTTCGTTATCGTGTTGTTTTCGTTTTCCGTCGCTTTTGTCTCGAATCCGCCTTTACCGCAAAACATAGTCGAAACGAAAGCGGCCCACGAAATCGCCAAAAACGGCCGTATGGGTCCAGCCCTCGTCTGGGAGAGACGGCGCGGGTTCGTCCGAGCACGCGACTGGCACCCGACAGGTGGACGAGCACGCGACTTGCGCCCGACTGGGACATCGAACGCGCGCGAGGCGCCCGGCAAGTGCATCCAGAAGTATGACATTGCGGTCTGCGTTTCGAGTTTACTGCACCGTTCTAAAACTGGTTTTGGCGTTCTGGAGTGGTTTGGTGCCCGCTTTTAGTACTAGGTGGAATCATTTGATTTCGCGTTGCGTCCAAGAACGGTGAGTGATACTGTTTCTAGAACGCTCGTGGCGGTTCTAAACATTTGCTTGTGTTCTAGAACTCGTTACGCCGTTCTGGAACTCCCTGTGGCGGTTCGGGAGAACGTATGCCAATGCTGCCGACGGTCGAATTTCTCGAGCCTCTCTCAGTGTCATGGGAGACGGCCGTGACTAGAGCCTGGAATGGCTCGTCGTGCAATCGGGCACTCCCTGGCAACAGGACGAACCTCAGCTGATGGCGCTTCCACTTGCGCGCGCACGGAGCCTGGCTCATCTTGCCGAGCATGATCGGGTGAGTCGCATGCTTCACCTTTGCTTTCCCGCTTGCGATCGGGCCGCTGCATCCCTTCTCGCATCTCCTTCTCGGCTTGTCCGCATACTTCACCTCGGGTGGCTCCATCAACTTCCTGCAGCAATGCCCGCACGCAGTGCCGCCTAGGAACACCACCGCCACCATCAGCATGATAATCTGCCCCGTGCGCTCGTAGATCGCGTCCTGGATCGCCGCTGCCACCAGGTCCGTGGTCCTCGGATTGTAGCCCTCCGCTGCGCACGTCGAAGCTGCCGCACTCTCCGCAACTCCCTGCGTCAGCAAGGTGGCCAACAGGCCTCTCCTTGCCCAACTCCTGCTCGTCGCCACCGAGCACGCCTCCAGTTCCTTGTGCTTGTCCATTCGCTGCAATCGACGATGCTCGCCAGTCCTCGCAGGTACTCGAACCGTGCCGCGGGATGAGCCTTTGCGTCTAGGTCGGCCACATTCTTCTCACCACTCTCCTTCTTCACGATGAGACCGTGCACCTTCCGCTCCTGTTGGGCCCACAGCGCCCTGACGTCCAAGTGATTCACCTTGCCAACGCCATCTCTGTTGATCATCGCCTTCGCCGCGCTGCTGTCGATCCCCAGCTCCCAGGTCACTTTGTAGCCCAGCCACTCCAGCACATTCTTGACCAGCTTGCCGTCCATCACCAACGAGGTCGCTCCGTAGAACTCCGCCTTTCCAGATGATGTCGTCTGGGCTCCCTGCCTCCGCGCGAACGCCGCGAAGTACACCCCATCCAGCTTTGTGATGCCGCAGGTCATCGCCCTCCGTGTCTCGTTGCATGTAGCGAAATCTGTGTCCGTGAACATCGGCAACTTCACCTCGCCTGGCTTGCTCGCCGCCGGCCTCTTGAGCAGCGCGCCGTACGTCTTGGTCCCCTTCAAGCACCTCGCGAGCTTCACCAAGCGTTTCCTGTCGAACTCCGTCGGGTTGCTCAAGTTCCCCGTCAGCAACTGCACGCCCCTCGGGACGTCCGCCCTGTCGGGAATGTAGAGAGATCTCCGCGTCATCCTCCTCCGCCAAGCTTGGCACCTTCGCGGGCTTCGCCTTCTCCATGCCCATCACGAAGATTAGGTCCTCGATGTGCTTGACGTTCGGCCTGAGCATCACGTCGCCGTTCGCGAGCCTCAACCTGTCCCGCTTCAGGTGAGAGTAGCGCCCCTGCCTGATGACATCCGTCGCCTTCAGGTCGAACACTTCCCCCGGCCTCTTGATGATCCCTTCCAGGTGCCTTGCCGGTCCTTCGCCATGGAAATTGTCCATGTGCACCTCGATCAGGATCTCCTTCTCCCTGTGGTGGTAGAACTGCGGCTGGCACTCGTGCCTCTCGAATCCTTCGCCCCTGAGTGTCTTCGCAGCCTTGTCTACCCACCCAGCGCGTGCCGCGCGCTGTCCAGGTAGCAGATTGTCCGAAGCCCAGACGATGCCGCGCCGGTCGATCTGCCCATCTCAGCTAGGATCGCCAGGTACTCTGGCGGTGGCTCCACGCAAACCTTCTCCGTCTGGTCCGCCTGACAGTCTGCCTTCACGCAGTCAGCGATGAAGGTCCCGCGGTTCTCTTCCTCAATGCTGGCGAAGTCCAGCAGCCTGCTTGTCTGCGCTGATGAGCTCGTCGCGGATGCGTCGCCCCGCTTCTCCATCCACTTGAACTCCTGGGTCGCGCAACTCCACTTGCAGACGCCTCCGCGCACCTGCGGCTCCCAGGGTGCCTTGATCATCTTGAACTCCCCGCTCTCGCTCCTCGGGATGTCTCTGTGGGCGCCGTAGTGCGCCGGCGCCTCCAGCGCGCCCCGCTTCCTTTTTGAGCTCCACCGCGGGCTCCAGGCCGCTGGTCGTCACGTAGGATGCCGTGCCCATGTTGTCCAGGATGCTGTAGTCGATGGGGTCGCCCAGCGAGATCGCGTCAACGTGCCTTTCGCGCTTCCCAGGTGAGCCGAATCCCTCGCCGTCCGCGGGTCTAACCTGGCCCCTCGGGGTCGTCGGCGTGTCCTCTTCCATCGCGTTCTTCTCCTGAGGTCTGGCTGCCGCCGCTGCTTCCCCTCCAGGTCCTGCTGGTGCCCCTGGTGGTGCTGCTGGGCTTCCCGCTGCCGCATGCGCCCCTGGTCGGGCGCCCCCTGCTGCGGTGCCGCTGGTGCTGCCGCCGCTTCTGCATCAGCCCTCGTCTGGTTCTCCGTTGCCGTCAAGGCGATCGTAGGTAGTGGTCGCTGAATCTTGGGTAGCAGCTCGCGCGGCTGGGCGCTCCGTGCCACCCAGGGCAGTGCCTTCGCCGCCTTCGTCGGCTTCGCGTCGGCCCGCAGCTCTGGCCCCAGCCCCCCGCAGGTCCTCGCGCGATGCCACCCCGCAGGCGTCAGGAACAAGTCATCGTTGCTCTCCTTCTGTTCCCGATCCAGATGCCCTTCGCGAAGCTCGACTCGCCCTTGCGCTTGAGCGACGTCGCTGCGATCTGCCTCGCGTGGGAGGTCGGCACCTTGAAGAGCGCCGTCTCCGCGAAGGGAAGAATCTCGCCGTTGTAGTCACTCCGAATGCTGCCCGATGGGATGCCCCCCCCATCGGCCCGCGGTCTGCGCGTAGAGGTTGCCCAGCTAACGTATCTCGTATGCCGGCGCCAGATTGGTGCGTCCGCTGTGACCACCATGCCGTGGCGCTTCTCCAAGTCGAACTTGTACGTCCTCACCTTCGCCTCAAACCATCTGATCGGAGCCTCGATCGCGCCCGTGCTCTGACTGCCCTTCAGGTCCCCGCGCTTCTCCTCTAGCTTGATGCTGCTATTGCTCGGCTTCTTGCGCCCCTCCTCCACCAGGGTCAGGATCGTCGGCTCGCCGTCCGCCTGAATGTCCGCTGCGGAGAGATGCGCGCCCTCGATGAAACTGCTCGCGCTGGCCACCGCGCAGTCAGTGGCCGCCTTGGTCGGCATCGAAGCTGCGTTGAGCATCGGCGCGCCCCTGTCTGCCATCGCGAGCGTCGTCGCGAAGATATCCGCCGCTGGCGGCTCATCGTCACCGATCTCCGCCCAGTCGCCGTTGGTCTTCAGGTAGCAGGAGTCCAGGGTGATCCGCGCCTTCCCCGTGCCCTTCTGGTCGAAAGCGAGCGTCTTGTGCGGCCTGGCCCGCAGGCCCCCCACGCGGCTGTCTGGGTGCAGGGCGATCTCTTGCCCCTCGCGCAGCGCTGCGGGTTGCCGAGCTAGACGTTCCCTCCCTTCTCCTGCTGGCGGTTGCTCAGGTCCGAGCCGCGCCGCCGCGGTTGCCGGCGCCGCCGGCGCTGCTGCTGCCGCGCCCCCGCTGCCAGAGGCCCCAGGCGGCTGCGCGAACTCCCCCTGCTGCTCGTTCGCGTTCACGCTGGCTGCGAACTCCTTCGCCTCCGTCGTCGCCCTGACGGTCTTCGCGTTGAAGCGCGGGGTGTTGTTTTTCCTGGTGAGCGGGATGCCCTTGACGAGGTCGCCTCCTGGGTGCATGCGCGCGCCAGTCTTCGCGCTTAGCCAGAACTCCGCACCCTTGTCCATCACCTCGAGCAGCGAGAGGATCGGCTTTGACACCGAGTCGCCCCGCCTGAAGTCTGCCTTCAGCAGCTTCGTCTGCTCGTTGTCGTCGTCGACGGCCATCGGCGCCGCGATGGTGTCCATCTTGATATCCAGCCTCTGCGCGCCCAGCAGTCTCGGTCCAGCATCTGCCACCTGCTTGCGCCCCTCGCCGAACGTGGTCGGGGCGACGTGGCAAGTCGCTCACTTTGTCCAGCGTGCTGAAGGTGGCCCAGTCTAGGCCCATGCCGCGGCACTCTGCGTCGCCGTCCTCGGCCTTCATCGCCACGCAGTAGAGCTGGTCGCCGTCGCAGATCTCGCACTCGAAATCCGCGTACTCAATCTTGGCAACCGTCTTCGGGTCCGCGCTCTCCTGCTCTATCGCTGCATTTCCCTTGGCCTTCTCGTCGGCGGCTAGAAGCTACCTGCAGTCTGCCTTATTAATTGTGGCCCGTCTTGTGGCAGTAGTCGCACTTTCCTGTGAACGTGGCGCCGTCCTTACCCTTGCCTTTGCCGTCTTTGCCGGAGCTCTTGTTTTTTTCTTTTGCCGCCACTCTTCTGCTTTCCCCTGTCGTGCCAGTAGCAGTCTCGCGCTGTGTGGTTCGGCTTGTTGCAGAGCTGACAGTTGTCTTTGCCGTCCTGCTTGCCGTCCCCCTGGGAAATCGCGTCAACGTCCATGTCGTTGCTGCTTCGTCCTGCTGTCGGCGGCTTCGCAATCGCCCCACTCTGGCCGATCACTGCCTCGAAGATACAGGTCCGCATGCGTGCGATGTCGCTTCGCACGTCTCGCTGCGCCGACCGCAGCGTGGTCGTTGTGTCATCAGGTGCGCGCGCCATTGTCATCAGGTGCGCGCGCCATATTCGCGCTCGTCTTCGCGTCCTGCGTGGCCACTTCGCCCGTCGCCCGCTCGTGGCGGGAGATCAGCTCGTCCCAGGCTATCAGCACTTCCGTGAAGCGCTCCTTGCCCTCGCGATCCATCCAGCAGAGTGGCGTCGAGATCTGCGGCAGCATCTGACCGTGCTCCTCGTTCTGCCATGGGCGGTCCTCCTCCTGCTCCTCCTCCTCTTCCTCCTCCTCCTCCTCCTCCTCCTCCTCCTCCTCCGCCTCCCAATCGCCGCGGCCGTCCGCAAGGACGACCGGCGGCCGTCCGCAAGGACGAGGGTGATCAAGCGCCTCTTCGAAACCCCTTCCCTCAACTGCTCCCTGATTACCCCGCCCCCCCTCCGGAATCCTCCCCCCGCGGCCGCGGGTGATCAAGCGAGCGAAGGAGGAAGAATAGAAAATCAGTTCTCCCAAAGGGGCAAGAGCAAACGCCGGGGGGCGGACGATTAAAACAACAGTTTCCGGCGGCTGAATTCTATTAGTCCGCCCCACTCAATCATTTTGGGGGGTCCGGGGGGGGGGCGATTTTTTTTATCGCTTCCCTGCATTAAACATGTTCGGCGATGGACAACTGTTCTTTTAGTAGACCTTAATTTAATGAAAACGGCCTAGGACCGAAACCGAAGGGCCTGGACGCGCAAAAAGGACGGCCGCGACGCCCTTTCGCGAACCGAACACGGCCAATTCGCCAATCGACGTGTCAGGGTAGGAGGTCGATGCACCTCCAAATGTGTGTGTCGTACATTATATATGTGTATATATATATGCATTATATGCTCGTATATTACATTATGTTACATTATTATATCATGTTGTATTCTGTTATATTATATTATATTATATTATATTATATTATATTATATTATATTGTATCATATTCTGCGATTTTCTAGGATATGATATTGTATTATATTTAATTAGATCATACGATATTATATGAGATGATATTATATTATAGTAAGTTATATTGTAGTATACCATATTATATCATAATATATGTCATATTATCTTATAGTATATACTATTATATTATAATACCTTATATCATATTAGAGTATATCATATTGTATTATATTATACTATACTATATTATATTATATTATATTATATTATAACATATTATATTCTATTATAATATAGTGTGTTCTATTCTATTCTATTTATGGTATTATATTTTAGTCTACTATATTAAATTATATATGTGTGTGAGTCAGCGCTCCAACCCATGGGCGGACACCTTCGCGCTCCCGCTCCGGGCATCCCGTCGGAGAGGCGCGGGGGGTGCCGGCCCGCGGGGGCCGCGCGGCTCGTCGCCTGCTCGCCTGCTCCCCTCGAGGCGAGGGCGCCTAGTGCCCTGAGATCCCGGGCAGCGAGGCTCTTGCGCGGGCAACCTGGTCTGCCTCGCGTCGCTCTGGCGTTCACTAAAAAACTGGGGGGGCGATAGGTGGGGGGGTGAGAGGGGTGCACCTTTCGTGCACCTTTCGTACCCCTTCGGGGCCCTATGGGGGCTCGTTTAGGGCCCCTTTAGGGCCCCTTTCGTGCAACCCTCGACGCCGCCCCCCCACCCCCCCATTTATCGCCCCCCTCATTACCGAACGCCCGAGTCTCAGCGTTGTTGAAGGGAAACTGGGACACACAAATAAGTACACACAAATAAAATAATTCCCCATATTTCCCTATATTTTCTGGGTTTTTGTCTTCCCCCCCATTTCCCATATTTTCCCATATTTTCTGGGAATCGCAGATTCATTGTGTCTGTGTGTTTTTTCCCCTCCTGAGTTGTGCGCACTCCCGGCGCTGAGCCCCGCCGGGGATTTTCTTCGCGGGCGCCGGAGTCCTGAGCCCTCCCTCTCCGCTCCTGCTGTTCTCTGGGCGCGAAGCCTACTGGTCCTCCTCACCCTCGCCCTGCTCCTCGCGCGCCGCCTCCTAAGGTTCGGAGATGGACAGAACCCCCTTTAGTAAAACGTGGTTTAGTGAACACGACCTGAGGCCCAAACCTGGCGGACGCAAGACTGGAAAATAACGGCCACGGCGCACTCTCGAGAACATAAAACGGACAATTCACTAATCGACGTGTCACTGTTGGGGGTTCTGTCCACCCCCGAAAGGTCTCCAGGCGTACCTGGAGGTCCCTGGAGACCTCTGGACTGGATGCTCTTTCCGGTGAATCTTCCTGGAGCCACTCGCTCCAAGCATGTGACGACGCTGCGTCGAACGTCCCTCGACCCGACTCGAACCTGAGTCAAACTTGGGTCGAAATCGAGTCGGGTTTGGAACAAACGTGAATCGTACAATCGTTAAAGAAAAACGTCGAACTGAAGTCGAACAGAACCGTTAGGTGGGTCCCAGGAAGGTCCCCCAAACGAGCATTTTATCTGGATGGCCCCCAGAAGCCTGTTGTGGGGGCTCCTGCCTCGCGAAAGGCATGCCGCGCGCTGCTGACGAGAAGCTGTTCTTTCGTAATCTCGCTTCTACCGGATCGGGTCCTGGCGGCGAACATAGGATCCTGGCGGCGAGTCAGCACAAAAAGCGGAAGGAGGAAATATCGTCTTCGAAAAACCAGAAACTCAAAGCGCATGGATCTCCACGAACGCATGCCCGCACGCTCCGGGCGGATGGAGGGAGCACAGGAGGGAGGCCAGCGCACGAAAGGGACAAGGATGGGTGACCACCACAAAACAACCTGTGGTCCCTTCCATTCCTTCTCCTGAGACCCTGGGACCCTGATGGCAATAATGTCGTCCGACGTAGCCATCCCTCCCCAGGGCTGGAGGGGAAGGGGGAGTTGATCAAACTAGTGAGCCTGGCGAGCATCATCGCCGGCTGGGTTCTGATATGCGTTACAGCAACAAAAAAGGCAACAGACGTAAAAGGAGTGGAGAGTGGGAAGAGATGAAATAAATAAACCTGCCAGGGTAGGAGGAGGAGGAGTGGACTAGCGGCGTTACACTCTTGCTCCTCCTCATGTTGCCTCCATTCCTCCTCCTCCCTCTCCTCTTCCTGCTCCTCCTCCTCCTCCTCCTCTTGTCCCTTCCATTCCATTCCTCCTCATCATTTTACCTTTGCGCGTTCACCCAAGCACGCCCGCACATGGTCGCCGTTGCGGGCACCGGCGCAAGACCGTTGGATGTTGAGGCCTAGTCATAAGTCTGACTCGATGTTGCTCACAAGCTCTCTCGTGGCAACGTGTGACAGATCCTTGATATCAATGCGGTCGTGTTCCACAGAATTCACAACGTGGGGAATACAACCATACATACATCTGGTTTTTGGGGCGTCCTTGTCTCCTCTGCACGTCATGTGCAGGAATGCGTTGTGGCGTCCCCTGAACCACCAGTCGGGTATATTATTTCTCGCTTGCTCTACTCACTTTCTGAACCCATCTCCTTTGTCGTTACCCTACCATGGGCACGAAATCCTTGATTTCGATCCGTTCCACTGCTGCCTCCGCGTGATTGGTAGCACGCTTGATCCTTTGTGCCCATGATTCCAATGGCTCGGACGTTGTCCCGTCGTTCGGCAACTCTGAAGGGTGTGGTTTGCAAAAGGGTGCGGTTTGCAACCCGCGTGCCGCTCCCTGGGGGAGGAGGCGGGTGAGGACCTGAACGCAATTCTCCGCCGCACCCCGACCATGGCTCATCAAGCCATGTGCGCGCGGTGGCCCCCAAGCCACAGCGGCGCAGATCGCAGACCACACCCCGGCGTAAACATACCCACTGGAATCTCCGTTTCGTCCTTCGTCGTCCTGCATCGGTGTAGAATACGGCGTTTTGCTGTCTTCTTCGCTCTCGTCGTCGTCGGCATGCTTGTGGGCATTGTCGCGTCGAGCGTCCGCTCCGGTGTCGCTTGGATGTGGCGTTGCTCGGGGGGCGTGCGTGCATGCTGTGGTGCGTCTCAGCACTCGCATGATCATGTGAAACATCTCTCTGAGGGCGCCAGGATCCATTGTCTCGCTCGGTCGTGGAATTCCACCGCCGTAGATATCTCTCGGCGTGATGCTTCCGCTGGAGAGACCTCCTCTTTCGGGCTATTGTGCCGCTGTCGTGTCTCAGCGAGGTGTCACTCTGGAAGAGCTGTTGGTGGGGCCATGCTAGCGCACGTCGGAGAATGATAAGAATAAACACCATTCCTCTTCACCCTCCCTATCTCTTCCACTCCTGCATCCACCGCTGACGGCCAGCGCCACCGCTGCCGTTGATGCCGCACCGACGGCAAGTGTCAACCACAACGACGGTGTCACTCCGTGGCAGCACCATCGTGACATGCCGCTCCGGGCTGCTGCTACCTGCCCTGCGCCCACCCACCCCTCGCCGCCTGACAGCGGTGGCCAAGCACGTGGCCATGGTGGACTGACCCGCCAACGCGAACGTGAGGAAGGAGAGGAGGAAGGAGAAGGAGATCGAACTGGGAGGAACAGGGAGGAAGAAGGATGACATCTCATATCCCATGGCGAAGAAGGTGATCGAAACGCTACCGGTAAGGATGGCGTGCAAGGACCAGGGAGCACGACAGACTGACGTGCCAAGGTCACCCACAGGGGGCAAGCGATAGAAAGAGAGAGGAAGACAACGAAAGGCTTCCCCCCCCTTCTACCCTCCCCTTCCTTCTAATACTCGTCGCGGAATACGCTTCGGCAAGGGAATATGGTATTGTAACATCCATCTGGTGTGATAGCCATCGCGTGGGGGGGGGGGGGCGGCCTGGACGTGGACATGGGCGAAAAGAACGCAGTGCCCATCTTGAGTCGTTGAGATCAAGCGTTACTCTAGGCGCCTTTCCACGCGTTCAGCCCTGTACCTCCGTCATTCTCTGGCACCTGGTCTGGCGCAGGGCACACCTAGGGCTCCCAACTTCGCGCTTCGCGCTGCGCGAAGCGCGAATAACTTCGCGCTCTCGCGCCGCCCTCCCAAAGGGAGAATAGGAGGACGAGGAGGAGGGGGAGAAGGAACGAGGACCGCGAAGCGCGAAGCGCGAATAACTTCGCGCCCTCGAGGGAGCCCTTGCACACACAACGTTCTACCATACGAGACGCCGAGCAAGGAACGAGTGGGGCTTTTCTGGCCACGGCCAGCCTCGGCCACGAATAGCTCCCCGACCTGGATCTAGGGAACGGCCCGAAAACCAGAGCCACTCCCGACCCCAAAGTTGTCCTTCTTTCGGCATCTCGACTGCGTGTCGCCTGGTCAGGCGCACTGTGCTTAGCCATGCTATTCTCTTCGCGCGCGCGCGCCGCTGCAGCTGCGCGGGGCAGCCGACGGGGGCGAACCTTCCAGCGGGCGCCTAAACGAACCCACGCGAGCAGGAACGCGGCATGACGCCACACCGAACGCTGCGTTTAGCCTTTCGCGCATTCGCTCGCGTCTGTCGTTGCGCCCCCTGTGGGAAAATCCAGGCGGCGCCCGCCGATGCCGAAGCATGGCGCCAGGCGGGCGGCGCAACATGCGCAGACAAGCACCAACGGGAGGCGACCTCGCACGAGCAATTGTTAGGAGCATTCTGCATGATTGCGCGCGCGTGTCGCTGCATCTCGCAGGCGAGGACTGACGCGAATCCCCTCGGCGACGAAACGCGGCGTCTGGCGGGCGCCGCGACGAACTCATACAAGCGCGCAAGAGGTGCCCTCAAACCAAAAATGAAGGACGATGTCGCTCTTTCGCGCCCTCCAGCCGCGGCGCCCTTCGCGCGACTTGCAAAACGCCCCCCCGCCAACGACGCGAAATGCGACCCACTCGACAAAAATCGCCTTGCGCCCGATATTCCGCGACGGAAGATCACAAACAACTGTGGAGTGTTCACGCGCCGCTGCCAAACAACGAACCGACGCGCTGTGTATTCTTTGCCGAAAATACTTTGCAATCTGAATGCTTCCAATGAGAACGTGTGGTGTCCAATGACCTTTTGCGCGAACATGGATGCGTATATATATATATATATGTATAGACACGCGCGGTTGCACACCCTTAGTCAAACGGGTAATAACACCCTGAGTTCCCATGATTGCAGAACGCAATTCAAAACAACACATGTGTTCCCCGTGTCTTCCACCAAGCAAGCAACAAACCCAACGCGTTTTCCAACGCTCCACGCAGAAGCTGCATGGTAACGCATTGAATTCCCGCATATTCAATTGATCGCCGCTAAACAAGACGTGGCACCGTCAGACCTAACATCCGCGAGACATAATAACGCAGGTGGGGTCCCGACGCGTTCCACGGGCACTGCAAAACAGCAAACAACCGCATCGTGCCTCCAAAAAAAACCCCACCAACACCTAATCACACGCGTCGGGTTCCCACTATTTGAAGCAGGAGCTGCATACACCCTGCGAAATGCTTAAGAAATCATGGGTTAAGAAATTCATACTCTCAGAACTTGAACAACAACCCAAGATTTCTATCAAGATCTTAAGATTTACATTGAAACGTTGAGAATAATCGAGACTCTGGACGAAAACTTAGGTTTTCTTAAGCATCGCCGAAGGTGTACACGCACACGACGCTCCAGCTCTTTCCAGCGTTTCGGGCCGCGCGGCCTGCCCACGCGCGGCGGGCGGCGAGACCGTATACCATGACTGCACAGGGTTGTATCTGCCAACAGTTTAAAGCTAAAAAGCTAACAACTAACCAACTAGTTTAAAACCGTATGCCATAACTAAACAACGAAAACAACTAAACGTCGTATACCATAACTAAAACAAACACATCGTTGTTTGGCAATACAACCTTCACTCGGCAAATTGGGCCACGCGTATGTATCATACTTCCGCTTCTGTCTGCATCAATTGATAGCGCATACTTGCCATTTATGGTTTCAATTGAAACACATGGTGGCACACACAACGTGTTTCAGCGTTGTTGCTTGAAACAACCGAGAGCTCATAATAAAAAACTATTTCCCAATCAAAAATGTCAACGATGCGTTTTCCAATGATTTTATGTTGTCTCGCGGTTCGCCGCCCGTCGGCCGACCGCGCGGCCCGAAACCTTGAACAGCTTTGGGGAGCGTTTGGTTACGCAACGCTTTTACTCACATTGGCTGGAAGTTTTGCACCTTGCATGGGGATCGATGCTCCACAGTGTTCGGAGCCTGCGATGCACGGGTTTTGCGTTGCCTCATGAGTTGGTACAACGAGCAGCAAATTTGTTCATTGAGGGCCGTTGAGTGCCCTTTTTAAAACAAAAAACGCACGCACAAAGTCGTCAAAATCCGAACAGCAAAATAATGAGCTGGAAACCGCAGAGTTGCCATATCTGCGCGTATGACAAAAAATGACACACAATTGTTGCTTCTTTGTTTCTGTTATTTCATGGAAAAAATGGGGAAACGAAATCGCTGTTGACAGTAAGTATCTGCTTAACGTGTTGGAAAACACACCGCGCTTACGAGTCTGAATGCACAAAGGCGATATTCAGCACCTGCTGCAAAATATCTGACAAGACAATCTGTGTGATTCAATTACATCAGGGGGTATCAGTCAAATGGAAATGTTCGAAGATACAAAGACAGAAGGAGAGACAGGGAGATATGATACGTATACATACATATATATAGTGAAAGAGAAACAAGCAGACAGAGAGGAAAGGAACAAACACGAAAACACACGAACCACCTAGACACATATACACCTTTACGGGGGAAGGGGGGGGCAACAACGGGGCATAACGTAACACCCCCAACCCCAACTGTCACAAACTGTGGTGCCGGACGCACTGTGGCGATGCCAGGGACGTACTGGGGAGGGGGGAGCGTTACCCGGTATGGGGGGGCGAGACGGGGGCACAACGCGCGTTACGGCCCAGAGGGTTCAAAACACTCTGGAAGATAATGGAGGCGGACGATGATGAGGATGGACAGAAGACGGGGAGAACAAGGAGGACGGCCGGAGCATGAATGGGTATGAGTGGGAGTGAAGCGGACAGAGAAGGAGAGGAACAGAGGAGCAGAATTACTATAAGAAGAGGACGCGCCCTTCCAGAGTCGAACGAAGAAGACGAGGACGAGGCAGACACGTGGACGAAACCAAACGTGCTGTTTGGGGCTGGCACGCCCGAAATGGACCCGGGATCAGAAGGATACGATCGTCCCATCAGCAAGCGCTGTCAAACATTGACAGCGACCGCTGCTGAGCAGGCGACCCCTTGCCTCACATGGACAACGCCCGTGGCGACACCGACAACGGGCCCTGTTCACAATGGCCAAACACCGATGTCGGTCTTCGTGAGCATTCTTCCTGTGCCGATTCCGGTCGTGCCGATGCCCCGGCGCTTCTGCCGCCCGGCCCGACAGCCGGCGCCCCGCCGGGGCGACGTTCACGCCCACGGACGACAGGGCCTCGCCAAAGGGGGGGAGGACTGGGGCGGCATGTGCGTGCGTGCGCGTGGAAAAACAAACAGGTACCAATACCGCTACCTCCCGGACCTCTCCTGGGGTGCGTCCGGACGAGGCTTTCGAACCGAATCCGGCGGTGGCGACGAGGGCCTCCCAGGATGCCGAGAAAAGGCAGAACTGGCGAAGGGTAGCGGTATGGGTACCACTTCCTCCTCTGAGCATGTGTGTGCGCGTGTCTTGTTATGGCCCGCCCACGCACAAATTTGGGTGCTTTTGCTCGCACGCCAGATCTTTACCCTGCGTCGTCCACCCTCTGCCGCGCCTGGTGGACTCCATGCGACACGAGGAGGAGGAGGAGGAGGAGGAGGAGGAGGAGGAGGAGGAGGAGGAGGAGGAGGAGGAGGAGGGAGGAAAAGGAGGAGGAGGAGGAGGAGGAGGAGGAGGAGGGGGGGAGGAGGAGGAGGAGGAGGAGGAGGAGGAGGAGGAGGAGGAGGAGGAGGAGAAGAGGAGGAGGAGGAGGAGGAGGAGGAGGAGGAGGAGGAGGAGGAGGAGGAGGAGGAGGAGGGGGAGGGGGAGGAGGAAGAGGGGGAGGGGGAGGGGGAGGGGGGGGAGGAGGAGGAGGAGGAGCAGGAGGAGGAGGAGAAGGAGGAGGAGGAGGCGGAGGAGAAGGATGAGGGGGAGGAGGAGGCAAAATCCCTTGCCATCACTCGCTGCGGTAGCGTGGGCTGGCCTGCCGAGGAAGCCTGTAGCTTCGCTCGCCTGCACCAGCTTCCGCCCTTCGCCTCCCCCTCCTCCGCTCGGCGGCGCGCCACTGGGGGGAAGAGGGAGGGGGCGGTTCCTTCTTAGAAGGCTCGGGATTCCCCCAGCCTGCTGAGGATAGAAGAAAGACAAGCGCCATAAACATAAACTTTTGGCGCTCCGCGCGGACTTCTTGGATCTGCGCTGGACCCCTCTCCCTGGTGCGCGGACCGCGCCAGGGGTGGCGCCGGAGGCGCTGCCGGGGGGCCCAGCGCGGATCCAAGAAATCCGCGCGTAGCGCTAAAAGTTTATGTTTATGGTTTTGTTTCTTCTTCGAGAGAAGTGCTCTGAGCCTTCCCCGAAGACGCAGAGAACTTGTCAGAAGGCCAGAGGTCTTCTGAGAAGTCCCGCAACCTTCTGAGAGGGCCCTCTCCTCCTCACTTCCCCCCCCCTCGCTCGCAGCCAATCCACCTCGTTTCCCCCCCCCTCCCCTCTTGCCGGAAAAAATGTCTGCGTGTGTGCGCGGGTTGGGTGCGCCCTCGCGCGCTTCCCTGCAACCCCTCTCGCGCAAGTCGGTCGTCATCTCTGGTGGCTTCCCCGCTCGCCTGAGGCCCCGGGGGCACTGTCCACGTTCCTCGTTACCTGGCTCCGCCGCGTCGCTGCGCGAGTGGCTGGGAACCGCGACGCCATGGATAGATGTACACATGTATGTATAGGTACTTATTGAGATCCATATGCACACGCATATACGCAACCCGCGTGGTCCTATCACAATAACTTATTGCACGGTGGAAATACTTGCAATGCGATGTTACCTATGTGGCGCAACATCTGTCTGTAAGCTATGTGGTGGCACTATGGAGAGTAACGCTGTGCAATGTATTTGTGTCAACTGGTGAACTGTCAACTCCACTGCTCGCGCAACCATCCCACCCTCTCACCCGCAACTTGTTTGGCAAAACCCATTCGGTCACGATTGCATTTACCCGTTGGCACTTCTTAGCGCACCTCGGCGGCGGCGCTGACAACGCTCGCACGCTAGGCGACACGCTGGTTTGGCACAACTGATGTGGCCGCGGTGGCGCTTGCCGATGGGAGCTTTCCTAAAGCCGCGCTGGCGCGCAGGCTTTTCGGTGTGGGTCGTTTACTCAGGCGGGCGCGGTATCATGGTGACGTCGACAACTGCGAGAACGAAGAGAATGATATCGAAGGTGGAGGCGATGATGACGGTGACGACGGCAAGACCAATGACGGCACCGCTGCTGGTGACCACGACGACGATGGTGATATTCCTGTGCCGATGATGCAGGTGATCGTGCTGGTGATGATGGCGGCAATGGCGGCGATTGGCGATGACGGTGACAGCGGTGATACGATTGCGTTGATTCGGGTGGTGGTGGTGAGGCAGTGCGCGCGCAGACATTCAAGAAATCTTGCCGGCTCTTTGTTGAAACATATGTGGGTTTTATCGGTTGTTGACAAACTATACCTGGACATGCCTTGAAAACCACCGGTTTTGGAATGACTTCGACACGCGCGCGCACGGCCCGCATGGTATTCTTTGATATGACTTCGTGCACTGGGCCCATGCAAGATCAACGCAGATGCAACGCATGGTAAGATGAGAGTGCGGGTTGTGATAGTTGAGCCCATGGCTGACATATGATTGCGGCAAGTGCGCGCGGGCAGAGAGTCTACACATGGGTTGTTGATAGTTCTATGTTGGAATGCTTGCAAGGTTGTTGTGTGTTTGGTGTGATTTCGACATCTGCGCGCCCGTGTGCAAGTTGGTTGCTGCATGTTGCGCAAAAATGATTATTGCAAGAGGATGCGCTGAGATTTGCGACAGCGCGCGCATGCCATTTTTTGGAAGGGATCACGGGTCGATACCAATTGGGCTGGCATTGTACGATTTCATGTGAGAAATAAACGATGAGGCTGGGTCGTATGTAAATTACAAAAATGTCCCAGGAGGTCCAGGGGGGAGGGCGGTCTAGTATATCGTCTCTGGCAGGGGAACATATGCGGTGGAAGATGTCTCGTGTACTATGTGGTGTGAGCCAGAGGTGAGCGACATGCGGTGTAAGCTAGGTGGTATCAACTTTGTAGTGTAAGCTCTACAGTGTTGGCGATGTAGTTGAAGGGGAACTGGAACACACAAAATAAATACACACACATAAAAATATCCCCCATATTTTCCCATATTTTCTGGGTTTTTGTCTTCCCCCCCCACTTCCCATATTTTCCCATATTTTCCTGGGAATCGACGATTAATTGTGTCTGTGTGTTTTTTCCTCTCCTGAGTAGTGTAAGCCACGTCGTGTAAGCTATGCGGTGCAGGCCGCGTGGCCGAAGCTCAGCGCACGAGGCGCCCACGAGCGCCCACGAAGCGGCACCCTCGGCGGACGCACAACTCACGCGGCGCCCACCAGTGCCAACGAGGCGGCAACGTGGGAAATCCTGGTCAGACCCGTCCTGATATTTCAAAACATTGCGCCTAAGTGCGAGAGCAAATGTACACACATCTGCAAATCTATCTATCTATCGATCTATCTATCTATCTATCTATGTATATATACACACGCATGCATGGACACACTAAAACCACCCGCGCGCTTCGCGCGCGGTTAGGTTCTGGCACAGTCCAGGGCACTGTGATGAAACGCGTGCTCCTTCCTTGCCTGCCTGCCCGCTTGCCTGCCTGTCAGCTGCTTGCCTGCTTGCCTGCCCGGCTGCCTCGCCCGCCTGCCTTGGGGGAGCGCCTGCTTGTTTCGGCTGCCTGCAAGACAAGACAACACTCCCGACCAATTGCAATGCAGCGCAATGCTCCCCCCAGGAAGGCGGCGGGAAGCAAAACAGTTTTTTTTTTTTTTTTTTTTTTTTTTTTTTTTTTTTTTTTTTTTTTTTTTTTTTTTTTTTACCCCACGGCAACCGAAGCCAAGCGCCAAAGCTAGCCCCGCACAAACGGAACCAACACAAAACAGGCGATCAAAGACAAGGAAAAGACTAGGGAAGCAAAACAGAACTATACTCCTTGCGGGACGCAATACGTGACAATAACCTCTCTGCGGGGGACAGTGCTCCCTGCAAGGAGAGCATGCGATGCATCACTCCCTGCGGGAAGGAGACAAGCGGCCACGTGCCGCAACGCGCCACGTCCGTGCCGTGCCGCGCTGTCCGCTATGGTTGCGTGCCAGCTTTTTAATTGTACGGTGTGGCTTGCGAGCCGATGATCCCTGGACTTAGCAGGCATTGCTCTTGCTCCCCCCATGGGGAAACTGCCAGGGACTACATCACAGGCCCGCTCGCGCCCAGGTACCTAAACCCCTCATGCTTGGAGCCATTCATGCTCAGCCGCTCATGCAGACGAGCACACGCCCATGCTCAGCCATACGCAGATCCGCCGGCCCCCTTGTGGGGCCACCAGGCTGTAGGGCGAAGGTTCGCAGTCTCCTGTACCAGTTGCAGCTTCCAGCTTCCACTGTTACAGTTCTGCTTCTTGCTGCTTACCGTGTTATAATTATGTTTCTTGCTGCTTACTGTTCCTTGTTGGTGGACCGCGCGAGGGGGGGGGGCCCAAAACGGCCTTTTTTGACCACGCCCTGAGCGTGTGCTCTGAATTGCTGGGGTGGGTAAAAATTGACACCCCTCACACAGATCGGCGGGGTCAGGGTCCAAAAACACAAGGGATTTGACACATTTCTAAAACTCGGCGGCACC